ATCATCTACTTTGTTTCGTGATGTCTCACCAGACTTCGCAAAAGCTCTCGTTACTGTTCCTCACAAAAGGTTACGGGCAAAATTAAAAGCGCATAGGGTTCCAGTCAGTGTGAGTGGCTGAATAACTGGTTGGAGAGGAGAGAGCAGAGAGTAATCGTGAATGGCGATATGCCGACGGAAGCGGAGGCGTGTAGCAAGCGGAGTCCTCCAGGGCGAAGTGAAACGATCACCCTTATTCCTAATTCACGTCAACGAATTGGACCAGGGGCTCACGAGTAAAATTATCAAATCTCCCTACGGCACGAAAATACGTGAAACGCTAGAATAGTTTTCCTTATCTCTCCTGCACCGCTCCCACTGCTATCATTCCCATCCCCTTCCCAGTCACAATGTCTTTTTTTCAAGTCCCATTCCACTCTGCAACAAATTATATTTTCCCATTCATTCCCGCTACCGTTGATTCCAGTATCATGCCGCTCGTTCCCAAAGTGTACCAATATACGGAGAAGACCGAAACCTGTATTTTCAAACTCAACCCTTAAGGGATGGCACAATAGCAAGAGAATAGGAAAAAAGTTGAAACTAGGGGTGGATTTTTGAACAGAGAATTATTCGATAATGCTGCTTTATTTCTAGGAAATATCATGTATTTTCCCTTATGTTGCATTATCGGGTTCAAAAATCCACCCTACAATATTTATTGAATCTTCCCTTACAAAACTTCCACCTGCGTCCACCTGGCTGAGCAACCGGGTTGATAGGAAGTGGATTTTTAATAAGGTGGATGTCGCTCCAACAAGTAGAAATACGCCTAAGAGGACATCTACGTGGTTCCAAATCCACCTGGACGTGGATGTTTTGTAAGGGTCCGGTGAAGAATGCACAACTGATCAACAGAAAAGAACAACTGGCCGAGAGTTTTCGGCCGAATCAGAGTTCTTCGCTTCCCAATGATGCGTACAGCAGAACTAAATCCTCTCACAGAAGGGGTTGATGAGGCAGCGACAGTCTGCTTCTGAGCTTGCATCCTGACCTATGGCAAATGTGTGTTCCCCCCCCCCCCCCAATTTCCCAATCCATTTTGATGTGCTTGGAAGCCAAACTGAGCCACTTCTTCAGCTGGGTCCATGCCTTTACCAAACTTCCTAATCTTCTGAGAAAGGAGTCCATCAATTGTTGATGTATTACGAATCCCTCAAAAAAGGCTTAATTAACTCCTTAAGTTTCTCGGGCAGAAGCCTACCACCGGAGTCAGAAATTATTTTCGTGAGAATAACAATTTAAGTTTATGTAAGAAATGTACCACTCTTTCTCGAGTTTACGCTCGAATTCATAACTAACTCGAAATATACGGGACGGGAAAAAATGCCGAACCCCTGTGAGGAGAATTTCACCATGACGGATATACGAGGGGTGATCAAAAAGTTCCGGGATTTAATTTTTTAGGACGCTGTGGTGACTCTTTCCGACTACTGATGGGTATATCCTTCAAAGTAGTCTACTTCGGCATCTGCACAAATTTGTCAATGTTTCTTCAGCCGCTGGAATCATTGCTCACACTCGTCTTTTGGAATCACCAGCAGCGCTCGTGGGGTGTTCGTAACGCTGCTTTAAATGTGCGGAAATGTCCTTCCTATTTCAGTTTCAGCGGTTTCTGACCTACGTCTGATCTACCTTCCAATTCCCGTGCTTCAAAAGCCATCCAACTCATCGGACTTAGGTCCTAGTAATTTCTTCTTGTTCCCTAAGCCAAAGAGTTAGCTAAAATGAAGGAGATGTCAGGCATCCAAAGCAAAATTGCAAACACAACGTGAGCACTGCTAGTGGTTTCAAAAGATAAGTGTCAGCAATGTTCCAGCGGCTGAAGAAACACCGGAAATTTTGTGTAGATGCCAAAGATGACTAGTTTGAAGGATATACCCATCAGTATCGGAAAGATACTGATGGGTATATCCTTCGCCACAGCGTCGTAAAAAATTCAATCCCGGAACTTTTTAATCACCCCTCGTATATGTCATATCCAATGAAGGGGTTAAATCAGATTGTGTACTATTTCATGTAGAAAATAGCATAAAAGAAACGAAAAGGATAGGGTTAGGGCATTCGTTTCCTCTACTAGAGACAGAACAGTATAGATTACAATCTTAGAAAAAGGGGAGCGATTTTTCCCAAAAAAGAGAATAAAATAGCTAACTCCAGTTTCACCCCCCTTTCACTCTGGGAAAGGAGCGAACTTACACCATCACCAAGGAGTAAAATTGCTCTCCTCCTCCGTGAGTAAAAACGCTCTCATTAGAAAGTGATAGGGATGTCATGCAAATACGAAAGTTCTCATATACTGTGTGTCGTTTCGTTCTCGTACAGGCTTTGAACTACCTCTGCCTGTACTGAATACAGCACATGTCAGAGGGTGGACGACCTCTTATAGGTTCCGTAGAGTGTCCGAGATATCAGTTCCTTATTACCTCATTTAATTGAGGTGTGACTGAATGAAGTTCACGGACACTGTATATTCTAGATCTCCTATGGGGATAAAATCTTACGCGTTCCAAAAGGGTTCTCAATAGGAATATGAGCTTGTTTTGATTTTTAGGGAGTAAAAAGTGAGCACACTGTGAACTTTTCAAATGTACTCTCTTATTACTCACCAAATGCTCCCTCATCGCTCGTATTGAAGTGAACACCTTGAAGTTCTTCATCAGGCCACCAGATGGAGGTGAGCGTCTCGCTTTTCGCACAGTACACAAAAGTTCCCTTCCCTCTTTCCCTGGAATCGTCACTCACAGGATTGTTTTGTACCTCGACATATGTCTCGCCTAGTCTCATTATACGAATCAATAAACACGAACTTTCCATCATTTGTTATCCACATATTCAAGACAGATTCATAGAGCCCAGGCCATAAACAAGCTCATATTCCTGATGAGAACCCTTTTGAAACTCGAAAAGGGTTTCATCCGTAGAGGAAATCTAGAATATAGAGAGAACGTCCGTGAAATCATTCCTATCACTTCCTCGACGTGATGAGAGAATGAGGCAAATGAAAGATTGACATCGCGGACACTTCATGGAACCGTAAGAGGTGGTCCATCATCTGACATGTACTGTAATCAGTACAGTCAAAGGTAGGTCAATTCCTGTACTGTAGAGAGCGAAAGCGACACACTGTATATGTCACAGGTTCGGTGTGTGCGGTTACTGTTTCTCTCTTCGGAGGCTGGCAACTTATTTATTCTAATATGAGACCGATCCCTGTGCAATAAGGTTAGGGGATGTCAGTGGTAGCGGGCGATTCGGACCCAGGCGGTCTCGAATGTGTGCGGTTACTGTTTCTCTCTTCGGAGGCTGGCAACTTATTTATTCTAATATGAGACTGATCCCCGTGCAATAAGGTTAGGGGATGTCAGTGGTAGCGGGCGATTCGGACCCAGGCGGTCTCGATCTATCTATCTCACGGCCTTAGTGTTTCACAACAAGGAAGGATTCAGAAGTCAGTCACTATACACCCTGAGCCTTTTAATCACTGAGTATTACATTATATCAACAGAGTGGTTAAACAATATTAAGAATCCTGGAAACAATGCACGTCTCACGTCCTTGGTTGTAGTCAAGGGAGTCAGGAGCATTATTCTTATATGAGACCGATCCCTGTGCAATAAGGTTAGGGGATGTCAGTGGTAGCGGGCGATTCGGACCCAGGCGGTCTCGATCTATCTTTTCCACGGCCTTAGTGTTTAACAACAAGGAAGGATTCAGAAGTCAGTCACTATACACCCTGAGCCTTTTAATCACTGAGTATTACATTATATCAACAGAGTGGTTAAACAATATTAAGAATCATGGAAACAATGCACGTCTCACGTCCTTGGTTGTAGTGAAGGGAGTCAGGAGCACGAATATGCCCCTCACGAAGGGAAGGCTTGTCTTGGAAGGCGCGTTAGTCTTCTGGAGGTACGCCCTGTCTGGGATCCTCCGACACAACTGTCCTTGTCGCTGTCTGGCGTGGAATCCCGACGCAACTGGTCCTTGTAACTATACACCCTGAGCCTTTTAATCACTGAGTATTACATTATATCAACAGAGTGGTTAAACAATATTAAGAATCCTGGAAACAATGCACGTCTCACGTCCTTGGTTGTAGTCAAGGGAGTCAGGAGCACGAATATGCCCCTCACGAAGGGAAGGCTTGTCTTTGAAGGCGCGTATCGCTAGGCTTCTGGAGGTACGCCCTGTCTGGGATCCTCCGACACAACTGTCCTTGTCGCTGTCTGGCGTCGAATCCCCACACAACTGGTCCTTGTGGCTGCCTGGCGTGGAATCCCCACACAACTTGTCCTTGTGGCTGCCTGGCGTGGAATCCCCACACAACTGGTCCTTGTGGCTGCCTGGCGTGGAATCCCCCTTTCAATGCGGCTTCCGACCCCTTTTAAAGTTGGTCCATGCCCTCAGGCATATTTTAAGCCCATCACAGTACGACGTGGTTTAAGAAGCACATTCGATCGCTTAATGTATCGACACGGAAGAAAAGAATGAAGTTCTCCGGCAACCGAAAGAGAATTGACTTCTGCAGAAAGAGAAGACGCGAGCGGTCCTTTTAGAAATGCAAGCATTTTTTTCCAACGCTTCCCCCCTACACAAGGCTCCTAAATTAGGCATAATCTGGCTCCTTATTCATGCCCTTTTCTCTCTTTTTTTTAAAAATAACTACTAATGGGACTTAATTTGCATTAGCAGCACTACCATCCTTGCCTTAAATAAACCAATTCAATTCAATTGTAACCTCTGCATTGGGAAAAACTTGTACTGTTCATGTACTCCTTTAATGGGTCATCTATCGAAGTTGAACATTGGCAAGAAAATTCATAGAATAAAAGGTTGCATGCTTTCTAAGGACATTGCGGACCGGAGGTCAGCAATTTCCATAGTATTTGTCTTAAAAACTCACTCTTGTTTGGTGAAAAGGAAGGGATGTATTATTTGCTTGATCGCCAGCGTTGCATATGTGGCATAAAGAAGTAAACAGGGATTCGGTGCTGCCTGCTGTTGCAGAAGTCGCCGATGGGTAGTTTGAGACTGTGGGAGGTGAGGGTTACAGAATATCCACGGACAATCTTGGCTACTTCCGTGGTTGTACAGCATCATCAACAGAGTGGGTCTTGTCTGTGTTGAACTTACGAATTATTAACTGTGGTAGTCAGGCAGTAGGGTGCGTTTTTGTAGTACAAGAGCGAAAGCTGGAGTTTCCTGGCGCCAGTCATGGCAGATGTGGCGCCTTTCTCATCGTGATAACGCTCCAGGTTCATCACCATTTTTGCCGAGACGGTCTCCAACATGAGAGAATTAAACCCGTCTCCAGATGATATATTAATGTCTCCAGAATATTTTAATGCTCCCGTTTTAGTCGTGTTTACATGATGTTAAGGGGTAAAGAGTTTCTTGGTCTATTCCCCGCAATGCTAAGTTCGTGAGCTTTTCTTATATTGTGTTTCAAAAATTAAAGAAAGGAAAAAACTTGATGCTACCCTGAGTTTTTAAGAGATAGCCCTTTCTTTTCCCTTTCGTTGCTCGAAATTGCATGTCACGATCTTGGCGAATTCAATATTGTTGGAAAACTCTTTTTGTCGTCTTTTGGTTCGGTATACAATGCAAGGGGATTATTATAGGAGGTTCTACACGACGACGAAGAGAAGGTGAAAGGGTCCGTCCCGCCCACTACTGCTCCACTGATCAGTTTTTTTTTTAAATGGTTGTTATCCTGCTCTAGATGCATGCCGGTTTGCGGAGGGAAACTGGGTCAATGCCAACGTATCGCGGTCGACTAGCGCCCGTAATGGCTCAAGGAGATTCCCTTCCCAACTGAGTCACATTACGTAATCTCTTTAATCTTGGGACAGTTTCTCTCATTTTTTTGGAATAAAAAACCCAGAACGACATTGGCATTTTCTTTTCCTCCTTCAGGCACTAGCGATAAGTCTTTGCGGTAAAGCATCGCCTTGGTCCGGATATCCTTTCTGTCGACCTTGGATGAAAGGCGCATTGTGCAGCATGATAACGCTTGAAATTCTTCTCCGTTACGCTTCAAGTGGTTTCTCGTTCACTCATCGCTTCCGTAATCCTTCATGCATCCTACTTGGTATTTGCTGGCGAGTCCCAAGAATTTCACGATGTGATTGGAATCGCAATTCACGAAAGTCCCGACTCGCGGTTTGCACATCTCTGGTGTAGGAAAAGATTATCAACAGCATCAAGTGTCAAGGTCATGCTCATGATGAATATGCACAAATTCCCATCGTCTCTGCTGAAGTACTCGATGTAGCAATGTTCATGTAGCAATTCCTGCCCTGTAGGCTTTCCTGAATGGTTTCATATACCTTATTTTGCCTTTAAAGGGCTGAAGGCAAAGAAACCAGCGATCTTGTGGACCATCTTAAAGAGTTTCAAAAGCATTCACTTATGCATTATTTTGAGTCTCCTTGGTGAAGTTTTAGGTATCGGTAGATCCCAACGTATTGTGAATAACGAAAGTTGTGTCATACAGTCATTAAATTTACAGTTTCAATTATATATTTAAAATTTTTCCCTGCAGGACGGAAAAGGAGCAGTTGGAGGAAGCCTTTGACTTCTTATGTGTCCTCTTTGGGTGTGAGATTCTCAACATCATCCCAGGAAGAGTATCGACAGAAGTTGACGCCAGGTTAGTCATGTTTACTTCTCTGCTCCTGCATGCTAGTCACAGGGTTTTGAGAATGTCTCCAGTCGGAGAAATGAGATTTCAGACAGGTGGTGCTCGACCATCTTTGCAAGAAAAATTATGAGCCGACATGCTTCAGACGAAACTCCAGAACTTACATTTTTGGACTTCTACACCGATAAGTTCGTAGGATACGAACTTTCATGGTTTTGGCTTCTGGGCACCTATGACCTCCCCTCTACATTCCTTCCCGATTCTGGAATTAATCGAGCTAGAAATATATATTGTAAAGGTAGATTAATATGCGATATACGAATACTACGATGAATGCTTGATAACAATGCCAGACCCCATTGCAAAGACAGGTTCGTCAATCTGGTCGAGTCATGATACTGGGATATCCTTGCGCATACTCCGTATAGTCGAGATCTGAGTTTGCTTCGAGCAATTTCAATCTGTTTCCTATCATGAAAGAATCAACCAGAGGAATCAGATTTCATTATGTTGAAACGATTGATTCAGCTTTGACCAAGTCATACAAGGGCCTACTGATGAATGGCCTGCAGTGTGGTATTTCTTGACGGAAAAGCCGATGGGAAAGGTGTTGTGAAGTATAGGAGAATGATATTAAATGAACATGCAATTTTCCAGATATGATAGAAAGCTGGAATTCGGTGCATAAGTAGTTTTCGGGGTGCTGATTTCAGGAAAAATTATACTTTCGAAGTACATGTACCGGGAGAGCTTTTTCGTATTTTCCCGAAATAATTTCGCTTGAGCAAAACGTTTCATACAGTTATATTACCAAAGGCACTATAGCAGTGGTTCTTAACCTTTTTTGACTGCGGCTCAAATTCCGGTCGCGGGGTTAGCTCGGCGACCCATCCCTCAAAGAGTGATAAATGATATGTGAAAGTTCGGAAAGTCTCTGAAGACCCTTTGAACCCAGAGTTCATGAAGAAAAGAAAACCTTCAGTGGGGCTGAATGCTCTTAAGATAATTTACGAAGTTGACGATGCATTAATAACCATCAAATTTACTTACACCTAGTATTATGGCTAGTGAAAATCGCAAAAAAGGAAGAATCGCCTCGAATTTACTCCCTGGTACAATTGAGGAGTTCTATGGAAAAGGGGCGTTTGTGTCCATACGTCCTTTTTCCATATCCATGTCCATGCGCTGCTTTAGGTGACTAGTCACAGGACAGGGTGGTCAGCAAGTAGTTAACATGCGTATTCAGCAAAGGGGAAGCAGGTTTTTCTATGCCCACAATCTATAGCAGGCCAACTGCCTGGCTGCCTCATATTTTAATATGGCTGCCTCCATGAATACTTTTTATTAGCACTTGCATGCTGAACGATTTTTGTAGAATTATTTTGTCCAAATAAACAAAGTGAAAATGAGGAAGAAACCAAACACAAGGAAAGTCAAAGAGGCCCAGTCATTCAAGCCTCTGTAAGAATGTGAGAAGTTGGAGATATCCATGAATAGTTGCAGATTCAGATGAGGAATACATTAATAATGGATCACTGCTGAGTGCTTGGTGAATGAAACGTGTCCTGAATATTCACATTTTCATTGCTCTTTCTTCAAGAAAGAGTTTATTTGAAATTTTTAGATGCATTTATTAATTAATCATTACTTTTAACTGGAAAGGAGTTGTAAAAGACTCGGAAAAAGTTTCAGCAGTGCGGATATGGAAAAAGGACATATGTGCATAAACAATTTCTGCCTGCATCCCAGTAATGTGCGATAAAGAAATTCATTAAAACCCCAAGTTCAATTGGAAAAAGGTTTAAGATACCATTTTACCAATAATTAAGTTTTGACCAGCTTCAGATTAGCCATGAGAAGTTTTTATCGTTCATCTTGAATTGCATCTTTTGCACATACGCCCTTTTTCTAGAGAACTCCTCAATTAATGTACCACTTGTTTATGATGTTGTTTTGAGTCAGCATGGTGGTTTATTTCCAAAATCACCTTGTATTATATTACCATTGCTAGTAGTTGTTTCTCGCTGAAAAAAATGGCAGGAGTATTTCTTAAATGAACACCAATCATTATGTCAAATGTATCTTATTACAAATTTTTTCTGAAATTAAAAACACACACAGCAAGGTTTTTTTCCCCCTGAAATTTGTGCATGAAAGAGTTGAACTCTGCATTGCCATTTCAGTTTCATTATTATTATTTTTCATCAACGCCCAGGATGACATAAGTCACACACATGCTCTGAAGGAAACCACATGAATGTCAAATTTTACCAGATCAAGTAATCTTATAAATAATAACAGAAATAGGGGTCTTATAAAAACTTTATCAAGTTTTTATAAGACCCCTATTTCTGTTGTGATATTTTAAATACCATTTCAGGCTATTCGTATGGATATTGAATATCAACGAAGCAAAATATCAGAATGCCGATTTTATCTGATTAGTAAATATCAACCCGATAACCGATACCGATATATCGTTACATCCCTATCCCAGAGTTATAATAAATGCCTTATGGGGTCACATGTGCGCCAAAACCAAATCATATCTGATATCATGAACCATTTGGTGCAGGAATTTAACTTTTTGGGGTTCTGGGGTTTCTTTTTGGGATCTGCAAGCTGTGAGTTTTTAAAAATTTTCTGAGATGATTGTGAATCAAATCTCTTAATCTTATCAATTGATATGGAATGGCCCTTTTCTTAACAGGCTTTCATTTGACAAAGAAGGAAGCATTGCTAAGGCTAAGAAGCTCATAGCCCTATATGAAAAGTCTGGCATCAGTAAGGACAGGATCCTCATCAAATTGGCCTCAACCTGGGAAGGGATTCAAGCTGCAAAGTAAGCTTTCCTTCCCCTCTCCTTTTGCTAGACAATGTTGTGATTAGTGAAGTCATTTGTTTGCATTCAGTATGGACTGGTAGGATGATTTCTTCCCACATAAATAGTCTAAGTAGACATTGCAGGTTTGATTTGGACATGTCTTTGCAGGGCAAACACTGAAGTATCAGTTCACTTCTTCTTTTTTTTTTCTATTGTTTAACAGAGTCCTGGAAGAGGAGCATGGAATCCATTGCAATCTCACATTGTTGTTCAATTTTGCCCAAGCAGTGGCATGTGCTGAAGCTGGTGTCACTCTCATCTCTCCTTTTGTTGGCCGCATCCTGGACTGGTAAGCTGACTTCATTTCAGCCTCTTTTCATCTTAAAAAGTTGCAATCAAACTCTTCAAATCTGAGAAGTGCTCTTATAATCATTCTTGTCAGGCACATAGCCCACTCAAACAAGAAAGCCTTTGAGCCACTTGAAGATCCTGGTGTGAAGTCTGTCACTGCCATTTACAACTACTTCAAGAAGTTTCACTACAAAACTGTGGTCATGGGTGCTTCATTCAGGAATACAGGTGAATTTCGTCCTTTTTTTAAAGTTTTATTCTTGATACTGCTGGTTTGGCAAGATTTGTTGTATATGTAAAAATACATAAACTCTTTGGCGCTAAATTCCTATAGGAGAAATCATGGCATTGACGGGTTGTGATTTGCTCACCATTTCTCCTCAACTCCTGGATGACTTGGCCAAGTCATCAGAGACTGTTGTCCGTCATCTTGATCCAAATGCAGGTACAAAACTTTTTCCATTAAAAAATACCCAGGAAATTGCATGTTCTTGAGATTGATATTACTAGGTAGGATTTAATGCATGCATCAATATTAATTTTTAGCTGAAGTTTTACCCCTGGAGAAGATACATATGGATGAGAAGACCTTCCGTTGGATGGTGAATGAGGATCAGATGGCTACTGATAAGTTGTCAGAAGGTATCAGAAAGTTTGCTGCTGATGCCGTGAAGTTAGAGGGGATCATCCGCTCTCGTCTTGGTGAAGCCATCAATGGGAAATGATGAAGGATCTTCTTTGTGGCATACCTGTTATATCCATGTTAATGCATTCCATATCATGTGATCATTGCACAACCTGGGTTTCTAAGATGAGAATCTCTGAATACTCAATAAGCATTCCCCTATCACGCTGCTTTCAAGCAGACAAACCACAACTTTTTGAGTTATGATACTGTAAATGTAGCAACTATCTGGAATCTCTCCAAACAGTGCACAATATTGAGTTCTTGCCAAAGATATTACCCAAAATAGTGATAACTTACCTAATATATATTGTACCTCTGAATGAAGAGTCTCTGCTTTACATTGATGTTGGATTTGTTCTTGGTGTGTTTCATGTATGAATTGGATGCGGATTGTAGCTTAGATATTTTCTTAGAAGGCTTTGCTGTAGAATTTATTTTACTTATTGATGCTTACTTTTTATATTGAAAAAATATTGATATAACAACTAAGAAGAGCTTATAGCAACAAAGGGTTTGTCTTTTAGCTGATATTGAAGATAGATGAGCAAAAATGAAACTGGCCAATCAGTGTTTCTGCAGGGTTTTGGTCAATAAATGCTTTCTGTGCTTTCTAAACTCTCTTATTGAATGAGCAATAAAACTGTTCTGGATGACCATATGAGTTTGAACCCTGTCTTTATGTATGATATAGCTTCATTATGCTTGTATATCTCCTTTTGCCTTTCTGGGGAAGTTGAACCCCTCCTGGGGCCTACTTCCCATAAGATTTACAAGTTACAAGTAGTTGTAAGGGTCGTGTCTTCTTTTTCAACTCTTCTAATAGGTCCCGCTGGCACTTGATCAAGGCATGACCCTTGCAACTACTTGTAACTTGTAAATCTTATGTGGAATAGGCCCCTGCTTGAAACTGGTACTTGCCCCTGTTAATTGCACATCAGTGCCAGGTCACAAGGAGAATGTAAACATGTTCTTGCTCAACAGATGAGCTCCCATGCTTGCCTAGCTAAATACCAATGCAAAACAATATCCACATGTTTTTTTTTATTTATAATTTATTTGCTGCTATGACGTGCAGAGGCTTCAAAACTCCCCTGTGGCCTGTAAAAATTCTTGCACCTGGTGAAGGAACTTCGGAACAAGGGAGCAGCTGCTTTATGTACAGAATTTTATGTGGAGAAGTGGGGAGTAAATTTAACCTTTGCCAAGGGAATAAGTATTGCAGTATTGCAATCTCTTATCGGTGGAGGCAGGCTTGTCCCAATACTCTTGGTAATATGGTGTATATTGCTACGGCCCTTATGTCTGAATGGATAGGGCATTCTGAGTAAAACATCTCAGTCCAGTATATTTAATCGTGGAAGCATGGCACTACAAAAAGAGCATGAACATGCATGTTCTGCCAGACAAAATAAGTAATCCTAAAACAGCTGGAAGAATACACAAAAAACTCGAGGTTTTGGCCAGAATTAACAATGAATTTTGGATCTAGAGTACATAATATTTGGTTGCAGGAAGATCTTGTTACCTGTCACATGGCAAGACATGCAACTGCTTCCTTGCATGGCTCACATGGATCAGCGAAGATGGAATAAAACAAGAAATCAGCTGTGCACTAATCATGCTGAATATATATCACAATGAAAGTCTCGGTTAGAAGCAGGGTGCACCCTGGAAGTAGAAAAGTCGTTGCATGGAATGGCAAGGAATCGTCATCTTCCCCTTGACCCAGGGTGGGATACGTAGGTACGTCTCATTGACGAGAGAAGCACATGGACATATGTAGCACCACCGACACTGGGAACTGAGTACAGGCCACTCTCCGAAACTTTCTTCATCGTTGGAAGAGAGAGCTTCACTTTTTTCCCCCGACCTTCTAATCTCAGCCAAGTTTCTGTTAAATGACACCGGTAGTGGAGCTGCTGGGGCAGAGAGGCACGGTGGAAGGGGAACAAGGTGGCATATCCCAACCGGGATACTCCACCATTGCACTCACTGTCCTCTTGGGATTTTCTTCCGAAGACGAACTTATTCTTCTCTTCTCTTCGGGAATTCTGATTCCATTGCTTTTCAATGGACGCGGGCTTCCCAGTCCTCGACTGATGGTCTTCCGGAATTCTCGCCTCTTCTGTCGTGCCCAAACGAGAAAGGAATAGCAAGTCAGACGGACATTCTAAACAACAGCAGAGCACACGCAAAATAATCTAGCTTTTCATATCGACAGCAAGCAACGTCGCAACAAGACTAGTGATGTTAGTCCGCATTTCAACGCTCACCACGAGTACGAATCCGATTAGCTATTTGAGTCGAGAAGCGTCTAAAGCAGAGGATTCGTTAGTGCTATTCTCTTGGGTTAATACAAGTATTCCTGCTGGATGGTGGTTTCAAGGCGAAGGTTAGCTCGGCATTAGACACGTTCAATCTGGCATTATTCAATTCAGGAATCTTCTTACCTCCCGGATTCGAGCCACAATAATTTTCCCGTAAAAATGAACCAACCAATAAAGGTAGTTTAAATAGTTTTTTTTTTTTCTTTTCGGGAGAATAGAATATCACTCCATTCCTAGTGGGGATCCATCATCTCCGTCGCCCAAGAGTCGGAAGTTACCAAGGAAAATAAAGAAGAGAAAAGCGAAGACGATGAACACAATCAGGACCAGGCATGCCACCTGTTGAGGAGGCAGTAACATGATCAGCCGTTGTTAAGGGAAGGGCATGGGGGAATAACTAAGGGAATCAAGAATCCGTCTGCGACCTGGCACGTGTGGAGGTTATCCATAAAATGAAACCTATGCGATTCGTGAGGTAAGCTTTTATCGTGTGCTGGGATGAAACCGAAAAGGTCTCGTCAAGTAGAGTAAGAAATTTTTTGTCGGAAAACAGAACCGACCTCGACGAATGACCTCCACTTCTCGACGGAAGACCTGGCGAGATCCATGCGATGCTGTTTTTTGATGGCGTGTTTCTTATAGATGATTTCGATGATGATCAGTCCGACCCCACCGACGATCCCGGCGGCGACGAGCATGAAAACCCCGGCCATATTTCGCAACTTCAGCGTGGCCGGCGCCTTTTCTTCCACTCCGCATTCCGATCCTTCGATCCCCTTCATCACCCAGATGTCATCCAGGTCTTCCATGAGACCACCTGGATTCACACCAAAGAATTTCACTCTTGCTAATCGTGGAGATCATGAGGAAAGGCAAGCAGATTCCAGTTCCGAAGAGTAATCATTTCATGCCATACGTCATACAGTACTATAAATCCAAAAAGGCCCACTTGTCAAAACCTTTTATGGTCTTAAGTTTTCCATTGCTAGGAGCACTTCAATTAGGTTTCTATATGATGTCCTTCATTATCGGAATATTTATGTGTACGAATCTGAAATTCATGGATTACATGTAGAAGTCTTTCGGCATTTCTTAAGAAGTCGGAATCATTAATTCTCGAAGTTTTCAAGATTCCTAACTCTCACTCCGTACACGAACGATATTACATGACACCACGCAAAAATTTGGTGAGATTAGGTGACCTTGGGGCCAATGGAAATGATGGAAGTGCGTCATCCCTTTCAGGCCATATCTCGGGGAACGTTCGATCGAATGGGCCATCGTTCGGGGAAACATGCATCGAGGTGAAATCAAACTCTACTAGAAAAGTGTGAGGGATCCCCATCTTGGAACGCTGCATTTTCAATGAGCTTCTTTTCTTCAAGTATGAATATGAGAAGGATAATTTGGTGAAGTCAATTTGAAACACCCCTACTTGCACCTTTTCTGAGCCATTAAAAAATGGAATCAGCTGTTATGGGTATGTTTGAAATGTGCAACATCGTTGAGGAAGAAACAAAAACTTGCGACCCTTGACTTCAATCCAATGTAAGTTGGAATGTAAGTCTCTTGCGGTTACCTTTACGAATCAAACTTTTTTTAAATCCATTAAGCCTTTCGTGTCCACCCTATTTACGTCGTGTGTAATTCGATTTCAAATTCGATTAAACATTAATCTAGACATTCCTTTCAGTCCTAAAGACCAAGAAATACTGCATTTTCAGGCTTGGTGTCACCTTGGAGCGCTTTCGAAAATCATTAAACAAAATGTTTTCACCGGAGCCTGACAGGTTTTCATGAGATCACGCATGAACACTACGAAAGGGGCGATTGGGAGAAGTTCGGCTTTTCGTGGGCGTCAGACGCGAGTGAAGAAAGCGAAAGGCAAAGGATGAAAATGAAAAACAGGCAGGCAGAGCGTTTAGAGCCGTGACGAAAATATTTAAAAAACCTACGTTCGTGGAAGTCGAGAATGGCGAGAGTGACTCGATCGGTCCAGGGCGATCCTTTGCGAAGCCCGACGGCGTACCCCGAGCGACCGAACAGTTCCCCTGCCGTGATGAGTCGACAATCCCGAGCTGCCTCGAATTCCAACCGGGAACTATCCCAGATGAACGCGTTCAGTCGCCTGACGGAACGAGGCATCGAGAGAATCGTTTCTTGGACTCCACCGCGACGAAAACTGGAAACTGCGTTTCAGGCGAGGCAATCTCCCTGCAACTCAAGCTCTTTCTTCGAGGGTTTTTTTTTTCGCTTTTCTCGGTCTTCCTTTTGTAGGGGCGAGCTCAAAACAAATTGTATTCTTTCTCTTTACCCCGCAGCATATCACGAGCAATTTCCTTCTCGTTCTTAAGGATCTTATTCCCGATCTCCGAGACGGGTCTGATCCGACAGAATGATCGGCTAATTAGGATCAGATATCTCGGAGCAAACCCGATCAACGTACACATCATTTCATCGCAAGGCAAGAGTGAGAACGGTTATAGGATTCCAGACAAAGAGGCACCGAATAGCAAAGGAAATATTCCAAATTTCGCAACTTTTTGAGTTCCACTCATGGTGTACCTTGATGTTCGACGATCGAGAAGTTAAGGTCTCTATCGTAAATTTCAGACTCTATGCTCTCCTTGGTTTTTGGTATCATCAAGTATCGGCTCGTGTCGCGTATGCGATTGCTCTAAATTTTAGCTCCTACCTGTTCTTTCCCCATTCACGAACGACTGCTTTTTTCCTTCCAGTTAGAATTCGAAAAATTGCCTGGCCTGAAACGGGCTTTATACAGCTGGATCGAAGGGTGCGTACCCCTCTTTAACGGAATCGATGGCTTCTTCTGCCGTGTCGTAGTTGTTCCCTTCCATGGTTCGGTACATGTTGCTGAGTTCGACCTGTCGACGAAAGTACATGTCCACGGCCGACCCCTTCACGGTCGCGTACGTGAAGTTCTCCATCGGGTTCCGCAGCTGAGAGAGAGTCACGATCGCGGATGAAGCGAAGAAATGCCGTCGTCGCTTCCGCGACGCACATGCGGTGCACGTACCCTGGCATCGTTGATTCCGGAGAGGGAACTCTTGGGACGATCCAAGACGAGGAAAGCGGCCAGGTTGGCGGTGTACGAAGCGACGATGATCATGGCAAAACCGGCCCACACCATTCCCAATACTCGAGCCGAGAAGCTCCTGGGGGTCCCTGTACATAGACGCGTCATAGACTCGACAAGAGCACTCACCCTCTCTCTGTCTCTCTCCGTGCAAGTGAAATCGATATACGAGGTGAGAACCTTCTCCGATGCCGGAGTTGAGAAGGACACCCCAGGCAAACCAGATGGCGGAGGAGAGATTGAGGGCATCTTCGCCCATTTCCTCCGTATTGGGAACCCGGAATCTGCCGAACGGGGAAAACCGGTCCAGGAGATACAGGACCAAAGCCACGACGTGTACCGAGACCATCACCAAGATCCACAGGTTCTGATGGAACGGTTGCAAGAAGGAAACCAGGGGAGACGTCTTCGGTTGCTGGATTCATCGCAGAAGAACGAAATTCCAAACGATCGCCGTCTCGACGAAATGAAGTCGGAAGTGCACGGAAGGGAAACTTGCCCGTTTTTCGAGGATGGCGATTCCCTGATATTTGAAGGGTTTCGAGAAATCGATCACTTGAGCCCGTTCTGGATTGATGGTCAACGGAGCCACGATCATATCCGCTCTTTCCGTCACCAGTTCACCGATCAACCCCGTCCATTCCTTCTTCCCTGTTTATTTATATTAACGCGGAGCATTACGATTTTTTTTTTTAGCAAACTTTTTTTTTCTTCTCCCCACTCGAGTCCCAGAGCTGGGATCTCTGCCAGGCCTTATAACCCCTCCCATTAGGTGTACCCTCGGTGGGCCATTATTTTCGCCTGTCACTGTCACCTGGGATTTCCAAACGAAGGAAGTGATGATCCCGTGACGCACCTGTGTTGTTGTTGAAGACGTTAGAGCCAAATACTCCGTCGGGGCTCAGCTTTAACGAAAAGGTGAAATTGATCCGATGGGACAACTCGCGCAGCAGGTCCATGCAGTACCCTCGACAGCAATACGAAAGCACACCTATCGGGAACCCAATACTCGTTCGAAAGCCCCTCACACTCCGAGGATTATTTTATTTGGAATGCCGAAAGAGACCACTCACCGGTATCGTTCGTGAGAGGAAGTCCCTGAAGGAAAGAGTTCTCCTGAGGAGGCGGGGTTTTATATTCGGGACAGACGAGTTCATCATCTTTACATTCCTCGCCGATGTCCAGCCGAATCGGACGGGCATAAACGAACGGTTTCTCTCGGATCGTCAAAACTTGTAAAAACGTCGGGAGATATTTGCCTTCCGGTTTCTGACGACTCGGACCCGGCCACGTGATGCTCTCCTCGTCCACTTTCAGCACCATCTTCCCCTCCTCCTGTCGACATCACGAATTCCTCTTTATTTTCTCACCCGAGGTCAGCGAGCGATATCTCACTCGTCACGGACTGACCCTCGAATACTTATAATTCCCGACGGGGACGGAGTGGCCACCCGACTGCACGTTGACGACTTCGTATTCGGCATTCATCCGATCCCCGTTCTCGTCGAACGCCACTTTTCCCGTATATCCATCGATCAACTCCTGTTTCTGGATGTATCTGCACGCACGAAGAATTTTCGCACGATTTTCTACCGTTTTCTTTTTCTCAGAGGGATTCGATGGAAACTTGCCTGAAGAAGGTATCTCCGGTTTCCCAGGCTTCTCCGGCGTTATCGCAGTCATCGGGAGCGTCGGCGATCGACTCGTTGTTGAAGTACATGTCCTTCAGGGCCATGCTCAGCACGAATCTGGGGCAAGGAAAAGGAAAGATGTACGAGATCGGATCGGCTTTGAAGAGGAGACGATTCGGTGAATGAATGGGCGGACAGGCTGTCGTTGATGTGGGCCTTCTCATTCGCGGCATTGATGAGTCGAAGTCCGAGGATTCCCTCGGGAACGTCCTGGGCTTCCAAGGCCTGTTCCGATACGATCCAAACATAGCCTTCCGTCGTCATCTCCAACGCAACTGCGTCTCGGAACAGATTCTCTGCATCTTTCCGACTGTCCCGATTAAAAAAAAATTATTTGTATGGTTTATTCACGTCTCTGAATTCTCCGTTCGTGGTCTCACTCCGCTCGAATCACCTGGCATAAAGGAGGATAACCCTGGCTTGTGCACTCTTGGCTTCCAGGAGGTGTTTCTTGAAATCATGATGTCCTGCTTCGTACTCGATCACTGCTTCTATCTATGGGCAAATAAAAGAGTCGTGACGATGCAGCCATTCGTCGATGAGTCGGTAGACCATTAAAATCTCCAATGTCTCTGCAGAGTCGTGATACAAGCACAAGCACGTACAATGCTTGTCGACAGACAGCATTGCTGAGAAATTGGGAATTCTTTACGGTCCATCACCCTTGCATTGAGTATCGAACCCAGGTAAGATTCTTTACGGACTCCAGATGGTCGCGTACTCTGTCAAATTACTTCGCAGGATCTGAGGTAAAGTAGAGACGATAATCCCCCAAAAGTATTACAATTTACAGCATAATGAGGCTAAAAGACCCTTCGCAGACTCTGAAGCTGTCATGAATCACCAAGCTTGTTGCGCAACAAGAGATTGCCGTATGGAATATTAACGTAAATTTGGAATACAATTTCCCCTGTCGAAAGAAAGTTCATACTGCCGTTGCAGCAATAAAAGGTGAAGTGACTTGTTACGAAAATCAACGGTGGCACCCCGAAGCACGGACTGGTAATTTACGTTTTAAGAAGTACGCGGCTTTGGGTCTTCGGGGGTGCCACAGTTTGACTTTCACTTGTTTCTTGTTATGAGCACCCTTGTATCAAGGCGGATTCCCAGTCCCCCGAATGTCGCGGTTCGTTGTATCGATCTCGACGTTCTCAATCATCCGTAATAATCTGCTCATGAAACGTTCAGTAGAAATATGGTCTTTTGACTTGCTGGTGCTCCCAGGATCCAATATACCCGCAGGAGCAAATGTAACACTTTCAGGCCTGGGCATTTGAAAAGACTCTTGTCAGGGCCTGTTTTTTCTCCCGAAAAATACACAATTATTTTTACGGACCCAAATAAAATCCGATTTTCATTGACTTTTTTTTTAATTTGCCGGTCTTTCTTCCCATTTCTCATAGTATTTTTTTTTTACATCTCTGTATCTTGTGGATAACCATTACAAAAGTATTTTGAACCCGGAAAAAAGTCATATAACTTCTATGTCCTGACGACAAAAACGTACAACTACAAGTCCTAAACCTAAACATTACACATGCCTAGGTATATACGATCAACCTGGCAAAATAAATAGAACAATTCACATACTTTAGGCAAGACCTGCCATGAATCGCGTTTCGTTTGTTTTTCAAGTGTAGTTCGCGCAAATGACAGTGCAGCACATAGGCATAGTGTAAATTTAGCCATTCTTTTTCCCGACCCGCGGTCCCGGTCTGCAAGACTGTGGACGTCGCCATATCGATCATCGGCATTGTTTGGTTGTGAGATAATGCATTGGTTAAGTTTCAAGCATTGAATGATTAATATTGTAATACACTCTATGTAACTCTAAAGCAACCTTTAAACTCATGTTATGAAGTTGAGAGACCTGAAAGTTAATAAGTGCTGGTGAAAGCGAGAAGTGGATCGGGCAACCGGGGAAGGAAAATCGAGGAAGCCGGAGAGGAGCTTTTCCGGGGGGAGTGTGTTTTGGACCTGCGTGGAGGCAAGAGGACTTGGCTTTGTGCTCGTCGGCCGTGTGGCGTGAGACTCTTTCCTCAATCTTCCAGCTAGACTCTACAACTACATCTCTTCGGTCAGCTACCACAGAGACCCTTTTTTTTTTATAGAACTTTGAAGTGCAAGGGCGACCGGCCTATCCTCTCTGCGGCCCAACACCTCCCAATATTTTATGCCTTTCCCTTCTTGCTCTACCCTCCCGGGGTAAAGAGCCCAGCTGCCTTATCGGCCGGACTCTCCCCTAATCCTGTCAAGTTAGGGTTAGGTGATATGTCCTTGTGATTTTTTATTATTTTGTGATGCACCTTTGTGGTCTTTTACTTGGTGATCTTAAACTTTTACAACCTTTTTATAGAAAGTAATTTTAATATATTCTCAAAGAATCTAATTTTTATAAATCTTGAAAGAGTAAATTTAGAGTTATTTATGGGCATTTTTATCTCAATTTATTTGAGTTGAAAGTAAAGGGCCTATGATCCTTTAGTGAAGGGTTCCATAGGAATCCCAGGCCATGTAACTTGGACACTCCACTTGCCAGATACTCCAGGGATCTGAGCCTACACCCTCTCAGCTCCCACCAGCGCTTCTACCATTATGTCTTGATAAGGAAAACCACTAGGAAGGAAAGGAGCGCTACAATAGGCCTTCACGTGTTAAAATCCGTTTTGATGGTTACCAACACAAGGTCTCCCGCGCTATCGGCTAAGTGTATCCCACTGGAAATCATCCAATAACCTTTCTTGCACCCCCTTAGCATCATACTCCCCCCTTCTCATCGTCAAGAAGGAGACATCCTACCTTGATGTCAGTTTCATCTTCGAGATTGTGAGCCAAGGATTGGAATCGACCGAGGATGGCTCGTCCGTCGGTGTCCGAGCTCTGAATCACGAGGACCTGGTTGGAGAGAAAAATAAAAAGTTCCAGGTCGCAATCGCTAGAGAGAAATTGGACTCGAAGGGTGGAAGAAACAACGAGGAAAGGGTTTCCGGCTCGTCTCACCTGGTTGTATCCCAGGTAAACCAGGAGTTGAACCCATACGTCCGCTTGATGGGAATAGGGAGGTACCGTCCTTAGGAACGACACGTGAATGTTCTACACGTCGCGTCCAAGCAAAGAGAAAGGAGAATATTACGCCGAGAACGGATAAGAGAGAAGTAGTTCATCATTCAAGAAGATAAGAACGTCTTTCGTTCCTTATCGTTCCTTGATAACTAAGAAGATTGAAGAGGCTTCCTTTCCTCTCTTAAAAGCTCCATCACAGAAGGCAGGAAAGCTACTTTGCTTTTTGCATACTAATGATGAGATGAGATCGAGAAAAAGTTTTGCAACGAATTTCGAGAAAAAAAAAGAATGCAGAGAGAAAAAAAAAGTCAATTGCGCAGAAACGTAGTAGTTATGCAACAGGGCCCGAACGAGTTCCAATCTGTCACTGGAATATATGCCTGGGGATTGGGCAATCCCGTCTCGTTCCTAGGAACCGCGGGCTCAATACTTTTCAGGCTCCCGAAGCTCAAGCCAGTTTCAGACCGTGACTTTTTTCTCTTGGCTACGGGTAGATCGATCTGCTTATTTGAACCTTGTCGGAGAAGGCGGAATCCCTGGAACTGATCCCTATGACGGGGATGTGATAGAATCCAGCCGTGTACGAGACAGCAGCAGGGCTTAGTTCCCCCATCGACGGATGCGACACCACGATAGCATACACCTGCAACGCCCACGATACCCAGTCTAATGCACTCCGCATGTATGCGATCTCAGAGGGTTTTTCCTTTCCTTTTACCTTTTCTTTGATGAGTTTGGCGCAGATATCCAAGGCAGTTCGGATGGGATTGGGGTTCATGAGCATGACAGCCGAATAGAGAGTCACCCCCGGCAGCACTCCCGCCTCTCCCCCTGTCTTATTGAAGTTCAAATCCTTTCGGAAGAGAAGAGCAACATTTTTCGTACATCTCCTCGATTTCACAAATCGATTCAAGTAAATAAAATTTTCTCCACTCGTTCCTTAGTGCAGTAAGATTGACCAGAATCTCCGGGTCGTACTGAATGCATCTCTCGAGAATATATCGCATCGAGGCCGAGTAACTCGAGTCAACAACCCGAAATCCCCAGCGACTTAATGAGAATTTCTCCTGTTGCGCTTAATAACCTTCAACAACGGCGACCCGAATTGTTTCTCTGTACAGTGTGCAGTCCTACGTGGAATCCAGTTAGAGCATAACGTCCCCTTCCGACAATTCAAATCGATGTCAATAGCGATCATCCGTGGTTGCCACTTGCGAAAGTGTCCCGCGGGCCAAACTCACGAGATAAATAATATGAACTGGAGTGGATTCGACATCGATATCACGCTCACCCTAAGAAATTTACATGTTTTAATTACAGTAAGCGCACACGACTCACGTTATTAACGATATCACCAATTAATCCTTTCCTTGGGAAGCTTTCCTAGGGGATCTTTTCACCTCCGAAAGGAAATAAAATACATGAACCTGTAAATGTAATTCATACTCTAGTACAACGTGTGATAAGCCAGATTAGTAGAGAGGAAGGGGTTGCTAAATCAGCAAATGTCAGTGAGTAGGCCGGTTGCAGCATGTTTTATTCTGTTACCGCATCAGTCTATCATCCCTATATTCATTTTTGCACCAAACAAAGCAGCTATATCTACCCTCGTATATGTACATCATATCATTTTCAACGAATTCGTACCATCGAGGTGACGACTCTATCGGTGTTATGACGTGCATGATAATATGCTACGAACTGCCTACGTCGCTTCGCAACATTCCGCCAATTCGTGCGGAAGTCATGAATGTACGAGGGAAGATTCAAAAGTTTCTGCTCTGAGGTATCAGGGAAACAAATAAATTCATGAAACGAAGTTTCATTTTCGACGCAATTACTCTTGAACATCAACATGCTTCATGTATTAGTAGGGTAAGGCAGAAATCTCACTGAAAAATATCACTTTTTATTTCATTAAAAATATGCTTTGTTGAGTTTATTGGAGGCTTTCTTTAAAGTTTAGAACATTTGCGCAGCATCATTTTTTAAATAAAAAAATGAAATAAATGCCTTCCTTAAATAAATATAGTAGGGGAAGATGGTGTAAAATGGGATACTCGGGTAAAATGGGACACCAAGGGTTTCGGTGACTGCATTGCTGCCATCTATCGGCAGTGAGGGCATGAGTAGCAGGCATGATCACAGACCATTTGCATATGACGGCCTCCATTTGAAGCGAAATGCCAGTGGATCAGGGGAGAAAAACTTTTTTGTAGGGTTCTCTGTAGAAATATTTCTCAACAAATGTAGTGTACATGTCTGTTTTAAAAATCCAGTTTATGATGACATGTCTATTAGGGATCCTAATGACGTTGCTGCTCGACATCATAGTGGTTTTTTTTGGCACAGAGTCACTTAGTTTCGTTTTGGTCTGTTTCAAAACGGAGGCATGATGCTGGGTAAAACGGGATAGCTCTCACGTGGGTGAAATGGGACATATCCCATTTTACCCTTACACGAGAAATCGTTTTGCAGCCTCGTGATTACGAGATATAACATACTTCACCTCGACTTCCACACTGTTGAGTAGATGACCATCAAAATTGATGAACGTTTTCTTAACTATTCCAGATTTATAGCTAAGAATGCCTTCAAATTATAAGCTCAAAACAAAGCGGCCGCCATGGAGTGAAGATGCCACGAAGAAAGCTATTGATGCGATTTCCAAAGAAGATTGTGTATTCAAAACAGTTGCTAAACCCTTCAGAATCCCTAGATCAACACAGGAAAGGCGAGCGAAAAGAAAAAACAAACATGCAGTTGGAAGTTCAAAGAGACTGTGAAGTGGACTGCCAACTTTCCCCGTTGAATTGGAGTAGCAACTTCTTAACTATATTAAAATCATGGAGAGTATGCTTTTTGGACCAAGGACTTCTGGTGTTCGTAGTCTAGCCTACAAACCTGCTGGAAAACTGCCTGTGTTCGCATGTTTGTTGTATCCCAATTTACCTCAATAGTGGATTCCATTTTGCCAACATAGGGTAAAATGGGAAACTGTCCGAGGTTTGGGGAAAAAAAAAATATTTGAGCCCCTTAATATAAATCTTTTCTAGAATGCTTTCATTTTACAGGAGCCAGATGCATTTTCAACCTACGTGACAATTTTCGAAGCGTTAGATGCAATTTCCAGGCCTACCGGTTTTAAGGTAAAGGTTTTTCTAAACCTTAGGTATCCCGTATTACCCCACCTTCCCCTATCCCCTAGAACCACTGTTCTATATTCAAATTTCACCGTCTTGCGGTGGGGTTAACCGTTCTTGAAATGCCATTGATCCAAAGAGAAGAAAAGCAGTTTGGGTAACTGTTGACACTTGGAATTACCAAACGGGAGGAAGAAGTATGGCCGACAACTTTCAACCTCCTCGATCATCAAATACAGATACATCAACTCTTGGAACCTCCCTCGTATTTCCTAATTTCCTCAGTGACGCACGAAAACCAACACAATTCCGGCAGATGCACGAGAATTCCCGAATCCGAACGATGTCATCCGCCTGCGACCTTTCAGTCTTCTGCATACCAGCAGGCCGACGACGTCGGTGCATCGTCAGCGTCTTTTGGACCTGGGAATTGGAATTAAAGGCCTACCTGGAGGACTTGGGAGAAGTGCCGCACGTATTCCTCGTCGCTGAGGACACATCCCAGGTGATATAACTCCGGGTTGGAATTCGTGGAGTTTTCGGACTTCACAGGGAAGAAGGATAAAAGCACGAGGACAGGGACCATCCAGGCCATCTTCATCATCGTCCATTCTCGCACGGAATCTCTCTCATTCTCGTCTCTCCGCCATCCTATCCAAACAAGATCGGATCTCCTGCATGAAGTCGATGGAATACTGCATCGTACAGCATTGTACTCGACTCGGCACGTTGCCAGATTTCAGGCTTGGCTTCGCCGAGAAGAGCACGATCGATTCCCATTCCCTTCTTTTCCTCGTTTCTTTCGGGGTGGAGATCTTTTTTCTGAATCGCATGGTATGCGGACTATTCGCGGGAGACGTCTTCTAGACGCTTAGATTACTTCCACGCTTGGATGCTTTTCAAGACGTTTGCAGAAGGAAAAAACCTAACACCAACTCCGGAAGTGCGGCATGAAAGTCCCCAATGAACCCAACATGTCACTCCAGTATGAATGAGGGTCACAGTGCAGTACTGGTCTGTGCAGTCTAATTCGAGGAATGAAGCGAAATAATTCAATCCGAATACAAACATGAAGGAAATTTTACATGCTATTAAATCTGAATGAATACGTTGAGACTGGAACTAAATTGGGTTTAAAATATCATTTATGGAGAGGATGAGCACTCTATCAAATCTCGAGGGTATGAGACTCTCCCCCGATGGGATTCTTTCCGCAAACGATTTAATTTCAACACTTGAGTGACGAAAAGCAATGTTCTCAGTCTCGTGTTAAAGAAAATATCAAATTCGCATGTTGGGGAGGTTAAGGATAATGCATCGCGAAAAACGGGACCTCAGGAGCTCAAAATGGGGAAGTTTCAGTTCTCAGGGGATTCTGGTGGGAAACACGAGTACAATGAACGGTGGAAGCCGTTTATTTCTACCTGCAATTGTGAAACATTGTGGCTTTTGTTCACCTTGTAATAGTAGCTTGAAGTCTTTACGTCAGCTTCGAAGTCTCGATATTAAGGCTCCGTTCCTAAGGGTCCTTTCTTCCTGTGGATTCATATGAAGATTCATTGTCACAGGTCTCAGCAATCAAGAGAAATAGCACGAAGAGCCTTTCGTTTTTCCATTCCATGGATGTTCCCCTCCCTCCCGGGATACTTAATTATTTCCCCTTTTCAAGCTTAAAGGCGTCCGTTCCTACAGGAGTATGATATGGTCCTTGGTTCATCAACTCACTGGTTTCATAAGATCCACACTCGACACTCTCTACGAGCTGAACTGAGAACTAGACACGGGTTTTGAGCGAAGCCGTACTCGGATAATTTAACACTTGACACAAATAACTCGATCTTCCCACACGTCATCACCGACAAGATGTCACCCGAAGGGAAAGTCTGAAATTGTCACTGCAATTAATATGTGCAGATCTTTCGCCAAGCAGAAACTCACTGGAAACGGAGAAGTGGATCGGGGCGTATTCTAACGGTGCGTCGAGTAGGAGAACCCATGCACGTGGTACGCAGACTTGGAGAGGATGGATCCAGGAAGAGGACTGGAGGAAGACTGGATGGAAGAAACCAGCTTCTCCCACGGTCTCCTAGATGGCCAACTGAGAAAAGAAACGGAGGAGAGCCCGTGACGTCATCCATATCGATCTCTCCTCTCCCTCCTCTTTTCCTCCTCCTCGTCCGCATCCGTCTCATTCCTCATCGCCTTCAAACATCCCCCTCTTTTCTCGTTTCTCCTCCAGCTTTTGTTCCTCTACGGGGGCGATGACTTTAGGTCGTGATGACAAATCTGACTTTCCCGTCTCACCGCGCACTTACAATGACTTTTTCTTCGATTTTTTTGCCAGAATTTTCCAGCTTCCAAAAACTTTGGAAGTCGTGGAATCTCGGCCTGAGCAAGCGACAATATTGTTTGCTCAAGTTCTTCCCGGCATCGATCCCATCCCGTTTGATCTCCGGCCGAGTCCAAGGTCAGCTGGATTGCAAATCATTCCCTGGAATGAAGGCAGAGATTTTCTTCCCGGGAGTTTTTATCTGCCTGTAGAAGAGCTCCCACCGGTGTAAATTCTTGTCCGTTTGTTAGCTCCATCTGATTTTTAACTTCGAGTCCATTTCCCTCTTGTCTCCTTCAGGCATGAGTTTAATCGATAACAGCTTTCCAGTCTGAAATATATGAAACCAACTCGAGGAAGAGTAAGATCTTTCTTCTATTTATGTAGAGGAAAAATCACAATCAATCTTAGCTTCTCCGGTTATAGCTTCTCCTTCGTGGAGAAACTCAAAATGCTTTTTTTTTGTCCTAGGGACTTCTAAACATACCGAACTGAAAGAAAACCCGTCAAAAGAAGCACAATGTCAGGGGAAAAAAAGAAATGAGAAGGAAAATAAAAGTTGAACTCTTCGGACCCTGCAGATGTTCCTTTCGGCCGACGGTGGACAATCTCTTTATTTTACGAGGGTCACTCTGTCACTCAATTTTCTTTCTAGGACATCGGAAGATTGTTATCTGCCATGTTTACCCCATCAGGAAAACAATCGTAGTTGGTGGGTGTAAGATACATTTTTGCAGCCGTCCAAGGCCTACCCGCATTTGCGTGCCTTGATTTTCTACGACCCTTAATTGGGGCTCGTGGCGGCTGAGAGCCATGCCCGTTTACGACAAGCATTTGGAACATCTGTTCCATCGTCTGCTTTTGTTTACATTGGTTTAATGAATTTCGACGAGAGAGAGCTAGCTTGGAAGACGAGCCTCGACGTGAAAGACATCCAGTAGCATTCACTGCCAGAAACATAGCACGTGCCGCGTCTCTGATACGGGAAAATGGGCGAATCAACTGTGAAGAGTTGGAGCAGAGTCTAGGCCCCGTATCTGCAGCTATTTATACTACTTTGCCTAACATCTTCATGTGAGAAAAATTGCATCTGTCTGAGTGCCACAAAAAATGACAGAAGTCCAGAGAGGAGCCCGTGTGGATTTGTGTGAATCCATTATAGAAATGAGGAGCGATTTAAGGAGCTTTCTCAAGGCGTGGCAGGGGACGAAAACTGGATACGTCATTACGACCCTGAAACGATGCAGTGATGAACTGCGTGGCTGTTGTGAGTGCAAGGAGGAAGATGGTTGCAGTGCTCAGGTCACGATCGGGTGTGGTGAAGCTTGTCCCATCCGAGGAACAAAAAAACAGTTACTGCTCTCTGGTACACCACAGTTTGCCTTGATGAAGTGAACTACGCCGGCGGCGTCCAAAGTCATACCTCCGTGGATTCCTCTTCCACAACGGCAATGCCAGTGCGTACACAACAGCCCGCACGTGCGACTTCCGGATCAACGAAAATGTTCAGCTGCTTTCTCACCCTCCCGACTCGCCCGATCTTGTCCCTTGGGATTTTTTCCTTATTTCCAAGGACTAAGAGGGCACGAAAGGGAAACGATTCCGTGGGGGCGACCGAAGTCCTCAAAAACATTTGGTAACCATCGCTTCAGACGAGAGGAAGACGTGCTTCGAAAGGTGGTTTCATCGAATGGTGCGTTGCAGTTGATGGACGACTTTTCGAAGGACTGAAGCGTTTAATTGCCCTGTAACTACTGCAACTGCCTCATAAGATCTTTCAGAGTAACCCTCGCACAGCCTTTATGTCAAGACTCGAGTCAGACTTGAATCGTCCTACATAAAGGGTTCACTCGCCATGACAGATAACTATCAGCATTTCTCGTTTCATCTTCTGTCTGCTGGCGATTCTAATATCTTTCAAAAGTTTCCATTTGCCAACCATTTGGAGTTTTCCTAGTCTCGTTATATGTAGTTTACTCTTCCCCGAGTCTAATTCTTATTTCGCGTCAATGTGATAAGAGGAAAAGGGGTTTCACTCTTAGTTCAAGACAAAAGATAAACGTGTGGATGGCTGAATGAATGTATCTTACAAAAAATCTTGGAAACCTTTCAGAGTTGAGTGATAAAAGTTGGTATTATGGTGGTAATGCGAAGTCGTTTGGAAGCTATTAAATGCAATTCATTTTTCACATTTGCCTTTATCATAGAGACTGTGAAGAAGCCACATTATCTCAACAGACGATAGATTCTACCAATCGGCGAGAGTGGCGCCTAATCGCCGATTCGGCAATTCTCACCCTGTCGCCATTGGAATGAGTCCCCTTTATGTTTCAGACAGTATCCGATGGTTTTAAAGGAAGGCATTGGAATTCCTAGATAGATCCGTTGAAGGAAGTAACCAGGCAGAAGGAAACTCCTGGTACTTCTGACCGAGATATCGAGGAGACGTTTCGAATTTTCCTACTTCACTACATGGCATATATCTATATACTGACTGAGGCACTCGTATCTCATTTGAGAATGACAGGACGTGTTAATCAGCTGGCGAGGGTATGTCTGGCACTTCTCCTGCGAAAGAGAGAAATCTGGGGATGATGCCAGACACGTAACTCCTTTGCCGGACAGAATGAGTCGTGCTATTCAAGTACAGGGTGTCTCAAAAAAAAAGTTAACGCTGCAAGGATTGATTTTTCTTGTTATATTACAATTGAATGAAAATTGTTGTACCGGTTAACATGGGAAGTGATTAAGCTTTCCAATGGTGAAGACTTACGAAGATCGATGAACTCAGAATTGAGATTTGGAAAGATAAAGTTTACCTTTTCAGTTTTCAGACATGCTGGTGAACCATTGCAAACAGCCTAAACAAGAGAATCCGGCGAGGGAAACACTCGAAGAAGCTAGTGAGTCACAAGTGTACTGCCGGGAGACTCTTCACTCTATTGCCGGTTCTTGGGCATTTGTCCGGCAAAAATGCCGCAGGATCATTGAATGAAAGAATCTTCTTGGCGACCCATCTCTCTCAATCTCTAAAACCAGAGGAGTCAACAGTAGAAAACCTCACTGAGCGTCTGATGGCGTGTTGGCGTCGAGGAGGACAACGCCTGGAACGTGTCCTTTAATAATGGTGTGTACATTTTTTTAAGTCTAATTTTCACTGTTCCATGTCTCGCTTCCGAAAGAGTCGATTTTCATGTCGTTTTCAGCAGATCAAAACTTAACCTCTTTCTAACTAACGCAACATTTCAGAAATAAAGTTCAATATACCGGGGGAAAAAATCATTATTACAGCGTTAACTTTTTTTGCCACACTATGTACTAAACTCGGACTCTGATCCAGAAAGGAAGTTACAACCTCATAGACTCCTCTACGGGGTTATAGGGTGAGTGCTGCGAATGTCGGCACTCTAAGCAAATTCTTCACGGTGGAAACCTTGCTTGCTGGTTTTCGTAATGGAGCTTCCTCGTTCATATCTGGTCTGGTGATACCTTTATTATAAACCTTGTCGTACCGCAAAACTCGAGTGCCCCATGCCTTTCATTTCCGAGGGCCTGGGTCAAAGGTGAAGTTGGCTCAGATGTTGGCAATCTCGGCACACTTGCTGGTATAGACGGCACCACCCTGTCGGGAATCACGGCACACTTATGTACCTCTGTCGTTTACAACAGATCGACTCAAAAATGAATACAACGACCTGATAAAACAACACCTAGTTTGGAAGAGAAGAACAGAATGTGCAAAAGCTTAGCAAAATCACAAGTTTTCGCAGGATTTTTGGAGTGCGCTTAGAGAAATTGGCCACTGCGAGAAAATTGCAACAGCAAATATGGCTGTTCCAAGCACATGTTAACAGCATCAGCCCTATCATCTGAGAATACATGTCTACCCGTGCCTAGGGGACTAGTAGCGGAAGCAGAATTTTGGTGATTGCAAACTGCCGAGATTACCCCCAGTGCCGACATTCACAGCACTTACCCTAGTGCCCACTAGAGTACATTCAAGCTCAGATCAATAATAGCTCATGTTCAAGCTCAGGAAGGGGAAGAGGTAATGCTCAGGCGTCGACTATTCAACGCCCGCACAACGTGACATATGAGCGTATTTTCAAGGTTGAGCTGTGATTCATTTCGATATTGCGGCAACATTGAATCCATCTTTTGCACACCGTTGTGGCAGCATTGCTACGTTGAAAAATCAATCCTCGCTCAACGTTGACACGACGTTGTCGTGCCGAACGAGAAGGGAATCCCTAAGGACATACCTTGCCAGACCTTTGCCGCATTATTATATCCGCAGTAATCATTAATCCTGGGGGCATCGCGATATCTTGTCCCCGAGACGACCCACGATCGTCCCTTGCAGGACCATTGTACGTCCCGTGGATTCATTCATCAATCCTTGGTGAGTCCTCCAGCGTCTAATACCTATCGCCGATGGTCTCCCTAAGAGACTTTATTTATTACCTCTCGGAGGAGATTCTTTTGTGGTACTTTTCATCACCCATCTGGTTCTTTCCTCGCCCCGATATTGCGTGCTTGATAAGATTCCGAAGTTCTTCTTTTCTTTCACACCGGAATCTTCCTCTTCTAGGAGTCTGAAAGCCTACGCTGCCAGATAAAGGCCAAGTGCTCTTTACTGTTTAGCGTGACCGAGCCTTTTCGCATCTCCTCACGAGGTCCTTCCAGCTTTTTGCTTTATTCATTATTAGAGCATCGCAGTTTTTCTCGTGCTTTCGTCTTCGAAAGAACGACCGTTTGTGTATTTGCTGAAGTGAGTCACTCAATATCGATTGCCTTCTTTAAGTTGCGACTAAAGATTTAATCGATCAATAGAGTGAAGTCAGCAGACCTTCTTATGGACAACCTGCATTATTCGCTCCAATTATCAAAGCCTGATCGAAGCTGTATTTATATACCGTCAGATAGGTTGTATGAAATATTAATGCTTTATCGTTATAGCGTAAGTTAATATCACTGGGCTTTTGCGAAGGAATAATATAGCGTAACGAGGTGCTGGCTCTGGAAAGCTAAGTGTAACGGGATAAATTCCATTACCTTGGTATTTTTATCTGCCGACTTGCACAGCGGAGCAGATAGACCCCCATGGCGAAATGACAATTTTCTTTGGCTATAAATCATTTCATTCGTGACAATATTCCATGGCTATATTTCATTCCATACTTGTAAGGAGTCAACTTGGAACGAATGATTCGGTGCAAGATTTATTCAGGCATATGTTGGCAACGATTCAAAGCGATCTGAGCATGACATAAAATGGCTGACTCGTCTAGGACACTTTCTGCTTTGGCGAATTTGACAGAACCTTCCATTCGTCTGGGGAGGACCCCAAGAAAATAATCAGATGATGGCCACTCTTCACATAAATTTGGTTATCCACTGGAAGCGCACTATCCCCTAACACATACGAGTACTTTATCCCATTGGAGGGCTGACGAATACAATACGTAACTTGCATAACTTGTAGGGGAAGATCTCAGGGACTCCTCCGGTTGCAGCAGCTTCCTTGGATCAAATTCTTCTTCGTACTCGTTCGGTCGTAATGCATCCAGATGGCCCAAGAGAAATTCCCAAATTAACGAAATCTTTCCGCACAGGCACCGCAAGGGAAGACATTTGAATTCTTCGATAAACTGGTCTAATGAGGTAACCACAGTCCAAGGAGTCTCCAGAAAGCTCTGGCATGGGGGCTGTAAGAAGGATTGTTAGGATGGTTCAACTTCCAAGGTGACTCCATGGGGTAGATTCGAATGTAATGGAAGATTCTATTTTCAGATTCTATCGCAGATCCAGAACAGGGAGGAAACTGATACTTGATAGAGATATAATAAAAGATTCAACAAACACTTCTGTATAAAGATTTTAATTCGTATAAAGAGATGGCAATACTACCGTCCTACACGATGAAAGGTAGAAATCCCTAATTCCACAGGACGTTTATGGAATATGGGCATTATCTTAAGTGAAAGGTCCATTCCATATTCATTAAACGATCCGGTGCTACTTGAACTGCCATAACTTTTAGGCATGATTCTAATTTTAAATGTGACAAAGGCAGCAAGGATAACTTTTCAAAAGACAACTTTTGGATAACCTTCATTCTGTTACGTTAGAAGTAGCTTTGATTTATAGGGTAATAATTTTTAGTTTTCTAACCTTTAACTGGTTACTCAAAGGTTACATGTTTAAGAGTGTACTTCCGCTGTTCCTGTCAACAGCCTACATGCACAAGAAAATTTGGCATGTAATTATACCAATTCTAAGTTCTTGTTCAGAGGCAATCGACATTGGACAAACAGACTCAACCAGCCAAATGTCCACTTTTCTACTGCTTCCTCCATTTGACGGTGCGTGCATGGAACGGGTTCTTTTAGGGAATATGAGCTTGTTTTTGACCTGGGCTCCATGTATCTGTCTCGAATATGGGGGTAAAAAATTATGAAGTGTTCGTGTTCATTGATTCCTATAATAAGACTTGGCGAGACATATGGCAAGGTACTAAACACTCCTGTGAGGGACGATTCCAGGGAAAGGGAAAAGAGCACATTGTGTACTGTTCGAAAAGCAAGACCTACACCTCCATCTAGTGGCCTGGAGGACATCTTTACAGTTCCTTAAAACTTCTAAGTGCATATTTTATCAGAATGTTGTCGCTACGTTGCCAATATCAGTTGTGTCAACATTCGTAAAAAATAGTGATGGCAATTGTTGCAATAACATTCGTAGAAGTGTCAGTAACTTTCCAAGCGCTCAAAAGTAAAAAACGTTGAAGCAATGTTTTATCAATGTTGCTCCTCAACTTGCAATATAGAACATTAGCAACATTTCGGAAAGGTTCTATCAACACACTGCGTTACTTGGGATGGGACCTACATCGATTGGGGAATAGAAGCCGACCCAACCTTGCATAAGCATCGCCGACCTTCAGCCAAGTTTTTCCATCATCGGGTGCTATGCCACCTGGGAAGTGCTAACGTAAGGTACTTACTTAGTAAGGTAAGGTAAGGTGCTTGGCCGAAAATGCATGCTTTTCATATTTATCTTGTATGGAGAAATAAAACTCAAAAGGATCCACATAAAACATCGGTTTAATATCAAGACTTAGCTATGAGGCAGAGAACAACCATCGCCTTGCATTATTGTTTCATAGGTGCCCCGGAGGGAAGAGAAGACAAGAACTGCGAAGAAACAAAAAAAAAGGGAGACGGAAGCTCAAAATGAAAAATACATGGAAGGGGAACTGCATGGGGGTTAAGACAGGGAATGCCGCCAAGATGTTGAAATATTGTCCTGCGCTCGAAATGACAACGAAAAGTAGAAAGAGGGATAGAAGAAAGAGAGGGACGTGCTGACTCGGGCTGGGTTCATCTCCCTCTTTCTGCTAGCCTCCCTTTCACACTCACGGACCATAAAAACAGGAACATCACAATCCCCGGTTCATGAATCTCTGTCTTGCAGTGCACAATTGCATGAGATAGAAAGTGAAGAGAAGAAGCAGGGAGATGTATTTTTCCTTGTTCCAAGCCTTGACAGGAAACGACTGAGAAGCGAATGTTCGTCCATTGATTTCTGGCACTGCAATGTTGGTCTGCAGCGATCAAAGAGGAAGAAGACAGTTATAAACAGGACAGTCCTTAAGGGAAGTCCGACATGGGACATGAATGGGACTCACGGATGGATCAAAATGGGTGGGGTGAGGGGTGGGGAGGGTTATAAATGTATTTGCTTTATTCCTCTTCCTCTTCCTCCTCTTCCTCCTCGGCTTCTTCTTCCTCCTCTTCCTCGGCTTCTTCCTTCTCTTCTTCGAGCTCATCCTCGAATGGGGGAGGTACCAACTCCAGATCCTCCTCGTCTTCCTTCTTCACCAACTCCTCTTCTGGTGTCTCTGGCTCATCCTTCTTCTTCCCAGGTCGCTCACCAAACCATTTCGGGAGTCTGGCTGCAAATTATATGCAGACACCGTCATACTTGCTCACTCTCTATCAGTACCAGCTACAAACATTTCAAAAGCAGATCAATTGAGCTATTGTCTTTTTTCCTTCTAAGAAATCCAACTAATTTTCTCAAATATCAAGAAAATAGAATAGGGGTGCAAGATTCAACTAGATTCGAGAAAACAGAATTAAAAAAAAAACCAGGAAACATGTCAGTGCTTCTTGGAGTTATGGATTGAACACAGAAAGAAAAAACCAGCAGTAAGAGGAGTCACGAAGTCAACTATTGGACAATGGATCCTCCAAAACACATTCATCGACTTTTGGCACCATCTTGTCTGTGGCATTGAAAAATGGCTAAATCTTCATTGCTGGAAATATGGAACACCTAATCTAATGACCCAATCAAGACCAAGCAATATTAGTCTGGTGGGGCTAGGGAAATAGTTTATCAAATAGTCCAACTGAAATGTAACCAAGAACTCCCAGCACTGCCATTTCAATGTGCAAGTTGGCCTTGTGCGACGTCATCTCTCCTCAAGAATCGTCAGGAAACTAACACTAGTTTCACAAACCTGTGGTAAGCAGTACCACATACATAAGCATGCAACAATCGCAAAGAAGACAGAAACAGAGAATGAATGGAAAGACCACAAAAGAAGATGCCTCGTTTCAAAATAAAAATAGCACTTGACGTACCAATACTATTCGATGACTTTCTCACTCTCTTCATGGACACTTGGAAGTCAGAGGTAGGTACTTTTCTTACCTTTGAGTAGTCTTCATTGTAAGTGAAATTCAATCGTAATGCAAAGAAAAGTGAAGGTTTGGATCTATTCACATGTCGAGAGAATTATGGAATAGGCAGGATGTTCAAGCATAAATACGATCGTAATTTCGCTCAATCTTTCTCAGGAACCTCTGAGACTGAAACTAATGCTACAATCATTATGACTTGAGAGAAATTAGCTCGATGACATTAACGCTATGAATACCGGATTTTGTTTTTATTTTCCCATAAGAAATGAGAATTTATTTTAGCACTTCAAATCTCGCCAACTATACGTAATAGAGTTCCTCCATGTATCTCATTGAAAAGCAAAGAGAGAGCTCTGCATGAGTACGACATCTGAATTTACATACATAGATTTCTAGTGATCTGCTAAAGATGCCAAAAAACTGTCTTCATACATACGAAAAGATAACCTGATAACTCTCACGTTATCATGTTATCGTGTTATCTCTTTTTTGTATTGTAAGGGGTTGTCCTCCCTTTTCAAGGGAAGCATATTGATAGTTACGGGAAATTTCCTGAATCTCATTCTTCTTTAAGAGAATGTGAAAAGAAAGATCAAGTGTCTCCAATGGTAGAGTTCCATAGAACACTATAGAAAATATAAATGCCGTGGAAGTCTTATATGCCTCTGCCGGTATCCAAAGGATTAAACCTTTTATGCAATATGAGATTTCCTTGAACCGTCCTCCTTGGGAAAGAGTATCCAAAAATGCAATCATTCAGGTTTTTCAACGGAAGAAAAAAATTTCCCGTTGCATTTCGATCGGAAGCGTGAAATTCATGCCGTTTGAAGCGAATAGCGAGAAAGAGACAGACGTGAAGGCTTGGAAGGAAGGACAATACAAATGGAGACATCTTCAGGGTCGGCAAAAGTTGTTAAAGCGGTCTTCGTTGTTAAGCAGTAGACGACGAGGGAGGAACGACAACCTAGGAATTGATATGAACAATTGTGAACTTACTGCGAGGGCGTTCCCCGTAATCTTTCATCCTCTCCTCCCAGACCTTCTCTTGGATCTCCTTGATTTGCTTCTCGATACCCTAGAGTACATCCCACGGGAAAGCTAAAATCATCCACGCACACAAACACACTCAAACCGACGAACTCTCTCCATACAGGTATCTGCATTTCTCTATGATTTCTTTGTAGCTGCCAGGCAATCATTCCAAAATGGATGGGAAGATGCAATCAAAACTGCAAGCATATATAAATGACTCCATTGCATTACGTGTAGACTTACTCTTCGGTCTGCCCATAAATTGTTCAAGTCTTTCCTTCCAGACTTTTTCTTGCTCTTTTGTTAGTTCCTTGTCCCAGCCCTGTGCAAACCCACAACGTAAGGAAAAGGAAATAAATATTCATGTTTTGCCATTTTTTATCATTATCATTTCATCACGATATTTGCAATCTTACTTGATTCATGAGTGCTGCCTATTCAACACTTTTTACTACGTATAAATCAAATCTAAAGCATATACGTTTTGCAATGTTGCTGAACCCAGGGAACAAAACAGTAATTATTATTTCAGGCATGCAGCTTCTCAGTTGAGCTACTCCTGGCTGGTTATACGAATCGTGCGATATAGAAGCTACGGATAAGTAGAGAAAACTCAGAGAAACTGAGAATATTTATGAGAGGAAAGGGTGATAGGAATATGCATGCACGTATAGCAAGCGGATGGGAACCAGGATAGGAATCGTTTCAAGGATATCTGTGTAAGCATCACATCGTAGGATATCTTGGTGATGCTTTACGCTATTTGAATGATCAACACATCGTTCAGACGGTCAGGTTTAGCAGTTTCGTGAACTCAGTAATCCCTCCCACAAAGACAAGACTTCCATGACGTCGTGATGGGATCATGCGGGATGAAAGATGAAATCCATCTTGCTTCACGAACAGAGCTACGTGCATGATGTGGAGAGGGAACACGGAGTTCACGCCTTGTTTGACACAAGTTACGACGGTGAACTCAAAGAACAATAACGTCACAGGGGATGGTAATGACTCGGGAAAGATGCCACGAAGACTTACGCCTTCAAACATGCCTTTCTTATCGACAAAAGTCCGATGGTCCACCTGTCGTTCGAACTTTGAGGCTACACGCATCTTGGGCTGAGGAAAGAAGTTGAATAGAGATTTTTTTTTCTAACAAAATGTGCTCTATGGTGTCATGTGATTTTTCAAGCACAGGCCACAGCCCACGAGGTGGGAGACTGGGTGACGGTGGAGAAGGTTGGAAAATGAAAGCAAGGGGAAGACAACGGCAGGAAAGAAGGAACACAAACAGCAGATGCAGTCTCTGGGTGAGTATCTCTGCTTCCTCTACTCGCATTCGTTCCGCATTTTATCCATTTTCTTTGTTTTAGGATTTATGCCACTTACGCCAGTGAATAGATCCTTTTTATCGCCAAAAGTCCGTCTGTCCACTTGGCGTTCGTACTTGCTCGCAACTCGAACTTTGGGCTGAAAAAGTGCAGAGCTTGAACCTTGGACAACAATGGGATTCGTGCATTAGTTCGGCTCCATCTAGTTGCTGTTCTAGTAGGAGCCGAGAGAAAATTAGATGAAGAAAATCTCTCCAGTCTGGCAAACCATACAGTTTAGATCCATGGGGCTCATGATTTCTGAACCTGAGTATCCATTCCGTCATTCATTCATGGAGCTTCATTTACCTCTTCCGCTAATATTTTTATTTTATGTCTTTTCTTCGTGATGGTGCCCAGCTGCAGAAGGCAAAAATCGTGTTGGGGAAGGGAAAGAAGAGAGACAGATGGAGAAGTAGCGTCACGTAGACAAGTAAAATCAGGATCCAACAAGAAGGAAAGATGCCGAACACAGTTTGAAAAGGGATACGAAGCGTCCTTGTATTGTCCACACTGGACTAACACAAAATAACCTCTTCGAATACATGAAATAACTCCATTATCATAACAATGGCTTCTCTCAAATTTCCCTTCGTCTCAAACTGTATTCTTTGGATAGAAGGTTGCAGATAGGTCCCTTTGCGGTAAAGAAAATGCCAATATTGCTGACCCGTAAGGGACGGAAAAACTGATGAAAGTTTCATTATCGGCATCAAAATGAGAGGTGTAGTTCGTTCTGGATTGTGATCTTTATGTGATGATGTTCTTTGGCAATTATCTCTAGTAAAAAGGAGATAATGAAGATTGCAGAGGTGAAGACAATATTGTTATAGGAGATATGATATATTTTTTTAATAGATGAAATGTACACGAGGTCATGATAATTAGCAGAATCATGTATTTTTGTCCTCATCGAATCATCGCAGAATTGCCCGTGTTAGGTTTACAACAGATTTCTGAGATGTCATCCGTCCCGTATGGGTCATATTGGAGAATAACACAAGATACAAGGTCAAGCAATATTTGTTCTTTGACCTTGAATTCGAATGAAGCGAAACTTACAGGATATTTGCCCGTCAGAGCCCTGTAAGAAAGATACGAAAGAGCATATCAGTCACCATTCTCAGAAGTAGAGAATAACCAAAAATCAACATAAAACCTCTTTTGCATTTTTTTTCGGTATTATACCATAAAATAAATATTATTCTTCCTTGAAAGATTCGAATTAGTTCAGTAGTTCCCGAACTAAGGGGAGGGTTCAAGACCTTCCCAATGGAGGTGCAGAAAGTCGAAAAGGAAAGTCAAGGCAATTGGTTTTTTTCAACTAAGATCAAAAGGGAAAATATCTCCCGGGATAGTTATCCATAATTCTCGAGAAGCTCGCCTCCGTCATAAGCCTGCCATAAGGTTGAACAACGCAGTTCTTTAGGTAGACGGCAGGCTAAGCCATAGTCACTGAGGGAAGTGAGAATGCTCATAGAAGTTGAGTTAGGGAACCACAGGAGTAATTCGAATGAAAACGAACAATTTGACATTTGAACGATCAATTGAGATTATATATTTTCTTATCACCTAAGCTGATGAAAGAAAGGGCAATCTCACCGTAGGATGCATACATGTCATTTTTCCATGCACAAGGCAGCATGCATGATTCTAAACGGCAACAAAAGGACTCGGAAGGAGAAAAAAGAAATTATGAATGAAAGCAGCGTCATGAACGAAATCAACCCATCAAAAGCTCTAATGGCGGTCAACGCAAGGGAAAATTGTACTTTGTGAAGGGCTGAGTAGTGTTGTGAGTGTTGATGGGAACCTACGATACGTTGCATGTAAAGTAGGGCTGCCAATTCGAGTAGATTAATCAGCCGATTAATCAATTAAAATTTTCATTGCGACGATAAATATATCAAGATAAGTCAAAATTTAATTGATCACCCCATGAATTGATGCCATTATAGCCGGGCAATGAACTTAGTTTTCAAAGCTCATGAGATCGACTGGACGGGTAAAGTGATGATAACCGTAAAGTTCTGGAGAAGGCATTGGCGTTAGAGATTAACGTTTCTTTCGCCAAGTTAGAAGAGGAACTATTAGATGAATAAAATTTGATTAATCGGTCGATTAATTGATAGGCCGTAATTAATTCGATTAAAACGATCGGTTTGATCGATTAGCAGCCCTAATTTAAAGGGCTGCAGCTGAAGATGCGAAGCGGTCCAGCGGATCAACAAAAACTGAAGCAATAAAAAATAAATGAACAGAGAAAGTAAAGGGAAGATGAAACAAGACGAGGGAATGGCGACCACATCGATACAGGATACATGAGACAAGAAGACATCAAGAATGACAGAGAAGAAGATTGCTTCACCCTGCTCTCCTTTTTTTTCTCGGCAAATCTAAATATCAAGTAAGGGATGGAAGAAGTAGGGGAATGAGGAGAGCAGGGCTCGATAAGGAAGAGAGATGAAATTGGATGGAAGACGAGGACGACGGAGGGGGTGTGTACTTACTCCGGGTCTAGCCCTCTCTTCAGCGCTTTGTTTCTCAACGACTGTTTCTGCCGCTCTCCCAACTCTTTCAGCTACAATAACAATATCCAATACACCTTCACCTCACGAAAACGACCAAGCCGAGGCTAGGAATCTTGATAAACAATTTTTTTTTTAATATTTCCCACGGCCGCTGGTGTATTTCGCGAGACACACAGTACAAAACATGGATGGAAGAAAACACAAAAGTTCCTTCAGTGCGAGGAAGACATAAAAAGAAGTAGAGGAAACCGAAGGAGGATAATGTGAAGGAGCTTTGGATTTCACCAATCACGAACGGGAGGAGAAGTGATCTCTCAGGATTCATCTACAGAAGATTAGGATTGAGAAAACTGCTCGACACGAACACAACAGGGATCAGGTTCGTCCATGCTGTAGACGTAGCCAAACAAAACGAAGCGATTGGTAGCAAAGGATGGAAGGATTCCTGGGAATCCTTCCATCCTTTCCTTCCATCCTTCTTCTACGGATGAGCGGGAATGAATTAGTGAAAATAGAAGTCTGATTCCAACGATCTTTATACTGGATATAAGGTGAATATTGTGAATGTTGTGGAACGCCTACTCACTCCGGTTCCAATCCCAGCCTTACAGCCTTTTGTCGTAATTGCTGTTTCTGTCTTTCATGCAGCTCTTTCATCTGCAGGGACAGGAATAAGTATAGATCCATTTGTGTTATATTCCTCTGACCACATCTCTCTGTCTCACATCATCTCGAAGTCATTCTAACCCAGGATACCTCAGGATGTTGATATTGCCCTAATATAAGTCTTATATTAGGGCAAATCAATATCCAAAATTACATTCCATTTCTCCTTCAAATTTCTAGTGTCGCAATTATAAGAATCCAGGTAGAAGAGAGATCTGGCACAATGACCGAGATGACGTGAGTGAGTCGTCCATACGTTATCCACACTACAGTACAACCACGGGATAAATGCGACCGTACATGCAACAGCCACAAGTGAAAGAAAGTGGAATGAAGAAATCAATGAAAAATATAATTTGAAAAAAGACGGAAATGAGATGAGTTTTATACTGTGTGTATCACTTCCGTTTCCTTTCCAGCGCAAGAGCAAGACGTTCATATATTTTAAAAATCAAAAGTCCGTCTGGCTGCCATGAGCTACGAAAAGAAACTAAGATCTAAGCTAACGAAATTTTGCATCAGTACTCACGAAGTAGTCCTGCAATATATACAGTATACTCTATATTACCAAGAAGTTCCATGAAACACGCTCTATGACGATGAAATACATGCTCTTCCACGCCATTATCCAGCTGCTTTTATACGCGTGGCTTACAGAGAAGTTGCTTAGAAAGAGAACTGGTAAAGACTGTGCAGTAATACTGCTTCATCTACTCATAGACAGTAGGTTACCTTCAGCTATTGTTGTGCAGGGAAAAAGGAAACCCCCTATAGGCCTAAGGAGACGAAGGACTTTGATGAACCGGCACGCCACATTATGCATGCAAAAATGTCATCTCTTTCTAAGTTTTTCTTCTTCAACTTACTCAGGGTCCAAACCTAATTTAAGGGCCTTCTGTCTGTTCTGTTGCCTCTGTCGCTCTTTCAGTTCCTTCAACTGCAAGCAGATTCTGCATTAGCACAACTTTCAAGTTTCCCTTCCCTTCTGACTTGCAAATGACGTCTTTCAGCCTGCAAAGTTACTCAGGTCAGGAGCAGTCAACCGAATTGGTACTGACGATAAAGTTTTCGATTGAACCAGGGAATCAATTATTTTAGTAAAATTTAAAATAAATTCTCGATTGCAACAGACACGATACACTTCACAGGCTGATGGATGTGGCATCTTTCAAATGAAACTGCTTCCTTAAAAAGAAGGAAAGGGAGAGAACTTACGTCGTAGTCCTGTCTCTTTTGTCTCTCTTCAAGATCGTACTTCTCTGTCTCTAGCTTGATAATGGCATCCCAGAGTTCCTGGGCTTTCTTCATCAAATGTTCGTGGTTCAAACCATCGATGTCCAACGGCTTGATCCGAATCCCCAAAGAGATCTTTTTCTCCTCCTCCAGCTGCTCTTTTGGTTTGTTGAACTCCGCCCTCGGGTCATCGAATTTCTGAAAATTTTAATGCGGTTGTCTTTTTAATACAGTGATCCTCTTTGACGAGGCATGGAAGATGATAAAACGAACGGTCTTTGAAGCTCCCCGGGTGATGGTGAAGTTGGGACCGCGAGACTTCTCTTGTTGGGCCTTGAGCATGGCTTGGCGCTTCTTCTCGGCTTCTTCCAATCGCCTCTTCTTTTCGGACATTTCCTTCTGCCGTTTGTCTTCATACTCCTTCTGTTTTCGGATCTCCTCCTGCCTCTTCCTCTCCGCCAACTTCTTCTCCTCTTCCGCTCGCATCACCTTCACCGGAAAACACAGCAAATTCGCCGATTCGCTTAAAATGAAAGGTTCCCTTTACGATGGCAATGGCAACAGACAGTCTGTACTCACCCTCCTCTTGACCTGCTTCTCCTTGAGTCTCTTGAGTTCATCCTCTTCCCTCGTCCTCTGCTTCCTCCATTCCTCGATGTACTCCCGAAGCTGTTCGTCCAACTCCTCCATCTTGGTCGCTTGTCTCTGAAATTCCCATAAAATTTATTCATTTTCTGTCCTCTTCTCATAATAATGGACTGTTCTCGGAGGGAAACATTGAACACACCTTGACGAAATCAGGCTGCTGCTCCTCTGCCTTTGGCGTCTCCTGTCTGAGGAAAAGAAGAACGGAATCAGGATAACTCTCTTTCAAGGCATCATTGGAATAGTTTTCTCTTTCATTCTATGATACTTATCCCACACTACACAAGAGAGCAGGAATATAACATGGGAATCTCTGAAGAACATGGCAAACTCATGCATTGTGCAACATCAACTCACATCAACCCATTTGTTGAATCAAGTCTATCTTTACCTATTCATTTCGATATAGTTACCTTCACATTGAAGGTCAAGCAGACGTATCATTCAAATCCCAATGTGAAATAGAACAAGGAAACAATAATTTTATCGACGGATACTGTTTTCCATAATGTGGTTTGATTTCGTGATTTACGCTCGCTATTGCAAGCTTCTCATTCAGCTATAATTTAATATGCAGGCAGGGGGATTTCTCACTTTTCATGCACTCTGATATGAACTCAATAAATATAGGGGGAAAAACTGTCAAAGGAGAAACATGCTAAAACGAGGACATCGAAGGTGATTTGGAGCTAGGGAAAATCGCCTGGGCCCAAAAAGGTGTGAATATATACAGGTAGACACGCAGATGACATGGATCATTCCAGAAGGCTCAACGTCAACTGAGGTTCTGCAAAATGAAGTGGTCCGTTTTAGACAAGAACACACGGAATACAGGTGAGGGGTATTCTTTTGTTCGAACCCTTCTTCCTTTGGTTGCAGCATTTCAAAGCTGCAGGTGTAAAAAATTATTTTCACAAAAGTTCCCCAACAATTTGTTTCACAAGAGGGGTTTGAACAACTGTTGTCCTGAAAACCCGTCTCACGAACAAGGTGAACATATCCGAAGTGTCCAACGGGTTGCAAAAACTCGCAAACTTGGGGCTATTAATTCGCACAGCACAGGTTGGCATGTCACCACCAATGTTTGAAATGGAAGTTAAAAATAAAAGAATTATTCATTCTCCCATTCGGAACAGTTAAGTTATGGTTAGGACATGGGAGGAAATTAGGACATAAATTTGGGGACATGAGATGGATCGTATAGATCCAAACTCACTTGGGCCTCGGCTTCAGCTGCCTGCATCGTTCCCCGAGAATAAGAAAAAGAACATCGTTTCAGAGATGACTTTTACACGATTTTCATTCTGTACCCATAGGCCTAGATCTTGTTATGGCTGGTAGAGCTGAACCCCAAGTCGGTTTCTTCTGCCTCCTTTTGTAACCCAGTTCAGCGATTTCCTATGATCAGCATGCATTCCAGATGCCTTCCTAAATCGTATCCATGCTGACTAAACTTGATGGGATTCAAAGCGAAAGAAAGCATCAGCTATGGCAACTGACTAGAGCTAAGTGGAAACCGTATGCACTCCGTCTCTCTGCTAAGAACAAGATTGGTACATACTTCTTTTTGTCTGCCGGCGTCCTGCATGTGACAAACCAGCCAAACGCATGGAAGCGAGAAGAAACAAAGAAACAAAATCAAATCATGAGAGCATTCCCATAGAAACTATTGAACCAATTTTTGGGTATCGATTTTTAACTTCTTCAACATGGGCAACGGAGATATTATTCCATGTCATGGAAGCTTTCCCAGCCTGAACTGAAAGAGACTTATTTCTATTCAAAATCCTAAATTATGCATATGCTTACGACTAGGCTTATTCTACTAATGTAAAACTGCAGATGACAAACATACCAGTACATGCTGTTAGTGCGTAATAGAGGACACCGTCGGGGATTAGTTCATTGGGTCAAATTCATGAACCCCCGCCGGTTATTGATACTCTAGCTTCTTCCGTCACTTGACAATTGAGTCATTGGAGCAGTAAGTTAGTGTAGACTAAAAATACAGCATCACAGGAGAAACTTCAGTCATAGAGGGTGGATTACAGAGGCAGAGCAGAGTGGCGTTAAAAGAAATTGTTAAAAAATAACTCGAACCTTATGCATTTTGTCTTGACTCAATTGGAAGGCGATATTTCTGAACTTCCACGTTTGAAACTGTTGCCAACAAAAGAAGTTTGACCGGACGGGATCATGTTTCCAAGGGAGGGGGAAGAAAGTCCAAGAACGAAACAGTGGAGTTCAAAAAGAAAGAGGACAAAGACATCCGAGATGTCGACATCATTCGTGTGAAAGACGTGAGCACAAATAAATCCCAAATCGGTTATTGAGAGGCGTGTGTTTGCTTATATCGGTCAATCAATACGAGGATTAACGATTGAGAACGATCGAGTTACGGTGAATTATTCTTTCTCTCTCTGTCTCTCACCTCTCTTGCGAAGGGCGGAGATCCACCTGTTTCTCCGGTTCTTCCCTAGATTAACGATAATGAAAGACATGCAATGCATCGAACATGAAGCAAACAGCATTTGGAGCTAAGGCGTGCCAGGAGTGCGATTGAGTCAAAGCTGCGAGTGGTTAGCCTCAGCTGCTAGAGAAGTCTAAAGCCCTCACAAACTTCCTGTGATTCCCATTCGTAAGTCTGAGAAATGGGAAACTTCATAACAGTTGTGGGGCTGGCTCTAGAGGGAATTTTAATAATGAAACTGTTCTAGAATGCCGGAGCCATTCATGACATGGAAGAGAGAAAAAGAAATAGGCCATTGGGAAAGAAGACTCACTCCTCCTCCTCCTCCTCCTCCTCCTCGCTGAAAATTAAAGAAAATAAATTCCCATCAATAAGTAAACCAAGACGCACTCCCTACTGAGCTGCAAGGATTCCGTCTAAAAACCTTTTCGCTGTCTATGCGTTCAGTTTTACTGTGCTGTTATCAATTAGAGTCTCTGAGAGAACAATGATTCAGTAATAATTAAAAAATCTAAAGAGAAAAGGTTTTTTGTGCAGCTCACAGTGTTGTTCAATACAGTCCAACAAGAACTCAATATGTATGTACGTAGAGCCAGTCGTGTTCATAAAAGTCGCTGGGATGGACTAGATGTCCACAAAGGTGGAGGTACCTTAATCCTTCGATGAAGAAGGATCAGCAACCTACCTAGGTGTACTGTTATGCCAACACAGCGACAATTGCACTGAGATTTAGATACATATATTCTCGGAATTGAGATGCGTGGTGAAAAACTTGATAACTGCGAATGATGTTGGCGCGAACTGTTACGTTTCCCGTACGTAGGCATCCTTCTCGCTTCCACTCTGGCGTAAATTTTGATAGTAATTATAACGGTCTGATTGGAGTCAGTGAAATCTTTGTATCTTTAACATTTTCGTTTAACTATTCTAGATTTTTACCATTCTGTGACGTCTGGGAAGCTTTACTCCTCTGGTGATTCGTCGCCTCATTTCTCAGGATACATCATATGAGCACAAGTACAGCTGATTGCGCGGATCATAGGTCCCCATAAGTAGTTGTTAAGATTGACGTACCGTATGAAAGGGGACAAGGTTAATCCATGGCTTCGTTGCCCTAAGCTATACATGCTTGAACTTGAATATGAATAAATACGAGGTTCCGTTCTCTCATTCTCGATCGCCCAAACTGGACAATACCAGGTGGCGCAAAAAAAAGTCGTGTTTGACGCCTTATAAAATCCGTTATGGATGATCTAGGTTCGTGATATTTCATATTACGTTGGAAACACCACAAAATTTGTTTTCTGAAAGTTTCATGTACCTAAGTTGTCTGAATAAATATCGACAGTCGCTGAAAGTGGAGTCATAAAATGAACCTTTCCGCGCACGTGGATGGAGTTTCAGGACCACTCGAAGGATTTCTCTACCTTGACGTCATAAATACCGCTTTTATGCCAGTTCTCATCGTAGTATTCAACACATCGTAGAATAGTACTACTGTCGTACATCGTAGGATCAGAATCGATACCACGCAGATGATACGATGAGAACTGGCATAAAAAGCGGTATTAATGACGTCAAGGTAGAGATCATTGGAGCAGTCCTGAAACTCCATCCACCTCGTGCACGGAAAGGTCCATTTATGACTCCACTTTCAGCGACTGGCGATATTTATTCAGACGACTTAGGGACATGAAACTTTCAGAAAACAAATTTTGTGGTGTTTCCAACGTAATATGAAAATCCCACGAACCTAGATCATCCACAACGGATTTTATAAGGCGTCAAACACGACGCGTTTTTTTTTTTGCGCCACCCGGTATAAGTTCCACCGCCTCATTCATTTCGAGCGATCTCGACCGCTTTCGCCCATGTTAGGGCTTACGAGGGTAGTTTGACATTGAGTGAGATCTCAAGTACGCGTGCGTCCACATTGCTTTCACTTCTGAGGTTCTCGCTCATTGTCAAACTACCCTCGTATGTCATTGGATGTGACAGATACGTGAACGGACTCGGCTTCATCTCCTTTTTCCGCATTCTTCAATGCAGCCGGAATGGCAGAAATTGTCATTAACGGAGCATACGATCTTCGCGATTCGGATTTCACTGCGGAGCTCTCATGCCGATGAGATGAGATCTCACGAGGAAATAAGCCTCCGTCTGGCCACCCGTCCAGGGTGCCAAACTGCGTTCTCCTGCAATTAGTTCAGGACAAAGGAGAAGGAAGAATCGTCGCGCATTGCACCGAGGAAGTGAGCGGACTCCGCCACGACTCCATTACTCCACGACCCTTTGATAACCTATATTCGGTAAATAAGTGAAAGGAAATTGCCATCGGTATGGTTTCTGTGGTCACTGCGATATATGCACGACCGGCTCGCGTACGAAAATGCATTTTCATCTTTTCGCAGGTATACTGAACACGTGACAACTACGTTCCGTTATTGGTCATCGATATGCTAACTGCCTTCGACGCGACAATCTGTATTGGCATCGTCGATCTTCAAGGTGTTCTTCTTCGCGAGTAACGCAAGGAAGCATTCCCTTGATGGCATCTACGTGCTTCAACAGTACAAATGAAATTCCTTCGATCTCCCTTGCAATATTCGCACGGCTGATGAGCAGGGTTCAGACGCTCGAACGCAGCATTTCAGATTTCTGTAATGGTTTATTGTTGGAAAGAGGATACAGTAGACCTTCCAGTCTCGCGAATTTTGCAACCCCTCGAAAACAGTGAAAGGAGAATATACGATATCATAATGTATAATCTAGTTACTTTTGCTTAACAGTGTACTTTGAAACTACACACAGACCAACAAATAGCACAGTACTGTTCGATAGAATTTTTACAAACCCCCGTCCTCCCCATTTCGAGGCAATCGATCGTAACCGGTAGGCGAGGGGTATATGTACCCAAGGACCCCGTAATCCGATCCGTATGGAACATTGGGATCAGAGGTGTGTCCTGCTTGCAATGAGTCCCGGCTCGCCCGAAACCGGAACTAAGCTGACACTACTAATAGGTTTATTTCTTTTTCTATTCTACCACGCATTGGGGCATACTGGGCCAGGCATAGCAATCGGATTTCTGCGTTGGGCATGCTAAGTCCAAGAATTTTTCCCCTTGGTCAATCCTGTTCATTATTTTCCCAAAATGACATTCACATGGAATATAACATATTATGATGAAACCTATAAAATTCATAATATTCATCCTGAGTGCAACGACCGACCTCAGCATCACCACACGAAGAATAGACGAGTATAAAAAAAGTGAGAACTGCTAAGTTCTGCCTTCTCTTCCTACGTATCAGCCTAGGGTGAGTTGCTTTATCAATGCCCCACGTTCAACTCCTCTCCTGTAGGGAATTGTGACTGTCAGAGGAAATGGATATTTGTAGCGACTCCCTTTCCGGGCGAGCCGACTGTATGTTTTTTTTTTCTTCAAATGATTGATGATTTTCATAGCGGCTCTGTGCGACTGAGTCGTTTTGAACAAGTGTTGCCAACCTCTGCTTCTGTTAATACCAAAAAGAGAGTGCGCTGTGTCTACAAGAAAATAGCACGTATCCACACTTGATTTAATCGATTCCTGAGGAACCATCGGAGAAACTTGCACGGGAAAGCATTGAAGAACGTTGGACGTACAGAAGCCGAGGGTAGGAAACATCAGAGACATGGTCCATTCGCTGTTCTCAGTCTCAGGCATTCTCGACCAGCAGTTCCCAACTTTTTTTTACATGGCTACCCATGTTTTGCACTTTCAAATCTCAACAACTCGTAGGGATGGTTGCTGATATGGAAAATAATGCAGGTGGAAAGACCATGTATGGCAAAAACGAATCATTGGTTTCTTACATCACCGGCTCCAGGCGATCGAAACCGAATTCCCTTATCGACCCAGGAGTGGTCGCGACCAATAGATTGAGAACTGCTTTTACTGACAACGTCCTCAACTTTCGGTCATGTATTTTAATGGATCAAACTACACGTAGTGACTACGGTAGATTACGTAGACGCATAAAGAGGCCCATGAACTGAAATTCCTTTCGATTTGCGGGTATCAATGCATCCCTGTTTGTGGAAGCCTAAAACAGGGTGGTTCCGCAAAATTTACCCCGAAGAAATCTGCAGAAATAAGTCATCCTCTTTGGAAGAGTTTTGTGAGACAGATGACACACACGGGGCGAAAAAAAAAGTGGTCTAAATTCGGGTCCACCGTGATAAACATGCGAAGGCGGAGAGGAAAATTCCAGGGCTCTCAAATGGCAAACGTGCACATCCTAGTCTGGGGTGTGCTAATCTTGGAAGCTTCTCGCGATCTCATCCAACTCTTGCCAATTGGCAACTTGCTGCACGCGCATTTCATTCATATGACTTCTCTTTCCATATTCTTCCTGCGTCAGGACACTTTTCCCGGTTCCGATAGCAATCGCGCGTCTTTTGTGACGTGAAACGTTGGCCGACTTCCAAATCGGAAGTGGAGTGGAAACGAAAAGAAAAGCAAAACTTCCGCTCCAGAGAACGAAATGTTTCTAGCGAGTTGTCACGGTCCTACGTGTTTGTTTCTTTTCATTCGGCGAGTTGCAACCGAGCAAGAGTAAGAACGGCGCAGTCGTAAGCGAAGAAGGAGAATGAGCGCAGAACTCACGAGTAGACTTCCTCCTCGTCCGACATCTTGATTGGTGTGTCTTTCACAGACTACCAAAACAGGTCTGGAAAAAAAAGGAAAACAGATTATTGCGATCTCGGGATGGTCTCTATAGGGCAGTGATGAACAATCTACGGCCCTTGGAGACTTTTTTGCCGCCCCTTGGATGCCTCCAGTCTCTAAAGATCCATATTTATATGCGGCCTATTTCGGCTCGTGTTCGAGGGCCCTCGGCCCTCGGACTCCTCGAACATGAGCCGAAATCTCAATTAAGCCCTCTAGGGGGAAAAGGTTGTGCACCACTGCTATAGGGGATCAGGGCAGCGAATATCCGTAGAACAGGTGGGGGGGACACTGAGAAGTGCAGGGTTGGAGTAAGATCTGCCAAATATTTCTGGAAGCTGATATTCGGGGCGGTAAATGGGTTGTTGAGTGAAGAAGTTGTTCCATTTTGGCAAGGGAGCCCCCCACTTCTCCTCCGTTCAGAAATGAGTCACCGGTGCACACAGATAAACGAGAGCAATCTACTGGGATTCTTTATTCGATCAGACAAGCATTTAACAGTTTTCATAATTATATAAATGTTGAAATAAGGCGAGAATGTATTGCGCAATAGAACGCCTAAGACCGTGCTGAAGGTGTATTTGGAGCAGCTTCTGAGGTTTCGATAAACTCGAACGCAAGACTCAGTTGGACTTACAGATAGGGCATCTACTTAGAAATATTATTTTTTAAATCATGAGAGAGATTTTCCCCTGAGAAAAAATTGCATGCATTGACATTCACTGGAGATGACGAAACTTGAAGGCTCGTGGATGCACAACAGTTCCTGCACTTCACCGCGAGACGATCAAACGCAGTCCGACACTGATCTCGCACTGACGACCGGAAGATTTCCCGCGTTATATCACCCCCTCGTTATCGCGATGAGACGGGGAACTTACACAGAAAGCGAAGAAGGGGGAGCGAAGCGTGAGTGCGTGCGTGTGTGGGGGATCCGAAGGGAAATGGAGGGAGATGAAGGGAAGGACTCGGACTTCTTGGCACGACCTGCTCCACTCTAAAAATATTCTCTAGCCCGGAATGAAGAGAAAAAGTTACCTGCCTATCGGAGTCCCTTTCCCCGTGGATCCCTTAGGTCGCATAGGCCTTACACTCTCGTCTTCACGCGTTCAT